ACAGTGTCAAAAGCCTTACTGAAATCTAGGTAAGCAATGTCTAGGTTAAACTACCAAGTTCATATTCTTACTCTGTTTGAAGCATGCTATTCATTCTATTACACTTGTTATATAAACAGGGCCGGTGCAAGGATTTTTGCCGCAAAAGAAAGATTTGCCACCCACCCTCAGTGACATCGCAGTGCCCCACCCATATGATCTGCCATATGAACTAACGCCAGTACTGCACACAGTGTGTGTTTACATTAAAAAGCCTGCAGGGATAAATTATAGACACCAGAACCACTTTATTAAGCTGCAGTGGTTCTGGGGACTATAGTGTCCCTTTAATGTGAGGTAAATTAGAGATTAGTGTCACTAATAATATACTAGATTGCCTACTTACAATCAGATGAGGATAGTGATGGGCTCTGGCTGCAGCATGGCTTCACTGGTCTGGTGTAGAACGGGATCTCTGGAGGCGGTTTGTAACTGTGGTCACAAAATTCAATCTTCTGGGAGAATGTGAAGCAGCTCCATTTTTGGGGGCCCCTTACACAGCTCAAGGTCTGGGCTCCAGGGCCTGACGGTGAGTATGCCCATAAGGCCCGCCCATAAGTCCACCTACATGTTCCACCCATGAGTTCGCTCACAGGGAGTGGAGTGTGTAGGGGATGTGTTATGTGTTACTGTAGATTATCTAATGTGTGTGCTTATGGAATGTAGTGTATAGGGATACCAGTTTGTGTAGGTGATGCAGTGTGTTTGTATGTAAGGGATAGAAAGCAGTGTGTGTTTGTGTATAAGGGATGTATTGGGTGTTTCTTGTTGTGTGTAAGGGATGCATTGTGTGAATCTGTTTGTATGCATAAGGGATGCAAAGTGTGTTTCTGTGTATGTAAGGAATGCAGTGTGTGTCTGTAAGGAGTGCGTTGAGTGTGTGTAAGAGATGCATTGTGTTTCTGTGTGCGTGTAAGAGAAGCAGTGTGTGTTTGCATGTGTGTGTAAGGGATGCATTGTGTGTTTCTGTGTATATGTGCAAAGGATGCATTGTATTTATGTGTAAGGGTTGCATTGTGTGTGTGTGTGTGTGTGTGTGTGTGTGTGTAATGAATGCATTGAGTGTTTCTCTGTGTGTAAGGGAAGCATGTTGTGTTTCTATGTGTGTGTGAAAGAGCTCCCTGTCCTGCCCCCTGTCCTATAGAGCTCTCCCTTCCATCCCTTAGAGATCTCCTCCACCTCCCTTAGTGGTCTCCTTTTCTCCCCAACTTTCCATTAGTGGTCTCTCCTCTCCCCCCACCCTCCCCTAGTGGTCTATCCTCCACCACCCCATCCCTCCTTTAGTGGTCTCTCCCTCCCCCATGTTCTCCTCAACCCCCCTCCCGTGTTCTCCTCTTATTCTCCCCCCCTGTAATTTTCTCTTCTTCTCCCCCCTTCCCTCCCTGTAATCTCTTCTTCTCCCCCCTCCCTGTAATCTTCTCTTCTTCTCCACTCCCCCTCCCTCCCTGTAATCTTCTTTTCCTCACCTCCCCTTCCCTGTAGCGTGGCCGAGCTCCTGAGTGAGCACTTCCTGTCAGTCCGGCCGGGTTGCGGATCAGAGCTCGGCCACACTACAGGGGAGGTGAGGAAGTGCAGCAGCCGCCTGAGCGCTCTCTACAGAGCGCTCAGAAGGCTGCAGCATTTAAAGGGCTGGCGATGGGGGCGCAGGGCGCCCCCTCCTATATGGCGCCCTAGGCGGCTGCCTAGTTCGCCTTATAGGAAGCGCCGGCCCTGTATATAAATGGCTCTTTGTAATATGGTATAATGCTTTTATGATGGAGACGTGCGAGTATTGAGAAATTCCTTATTCCCGCTGTACTATGACCTAATAAACAAAAATAAAAAAGTGTGCAATAATACTTTCTGCATAGGTACCGAAGTACAACTGTGTGTGATGTGGTGCAGGGCCATTAAGTCTTTTCTCTTAATATTTTATATGTCAATTATCCCCATTCTATGATTGCAAAGTACTACGGAATATGTTGGTGCTATTTAAATAATAACTGTTAGCCTTTGGCATACTTTACTGTTGTCCCTAAAGAGAGAGGTGGGTGGCGCAAGATAGGACTCTTTAAATAATCACCTCTGCACACCAAGCCACAAACCCATTACCATATCATTCCGTACAGGCCAGTGAAGAGCAAATTACCAGTACATCTCAAAATCAATTCCTGAGTGACATGAAAATGCATTTCTGGATATCACAGTGTCAAACCATTCATAGAGGGTTCTAGAATAATGAGCAATTAAAGCCATTAAGAAAAACAATGTGTGAGCGGTGAGGTTAGCATTTATGGCAGAGGATCCAGAAACACATTAAATTGCTGCAGTCTCTTCCAAATACTCGTGGGTTAATCTTTAAGGATGATTTTTGTGTCAGTAAAAAGCTTTTAGCGTAAAACAGAAGGGAAAAGTGGATATTTTTCATCACTGGTACGATCAATCACAATCCACCGTAGAAAGGACGTGTTTGGAGCCATGTTATTGGATTTTTTGGCTGCGGTTTGTGACTCAGACAGTGAAAGATCCCATTGTAATCACATCCATCATAGAAGCTTTAATGGTCCTGAAAAGAAAGATTCTAGAACAGGCCACTACAGAACCAAATACAAGTATATCCAAGTGTTGCAGCCGCTACTATGAAACTACACCTTTAGCTATTTAAACATGGGATTCATCTAGCTTTCGGTTATTCCAATACAGCGATGAGAAAAGGCCTTAACCACATTTCTTCCTGAATACACACACCTTGTCCTGTGGTAAGAACAATAGCATATTTGTTCAGCCATTTTATAGAGTTGCAGAATATGTTAATCTGAATTTGCTATTCTTTATGAAGTGTTGAGGGCATTTTCAGTTGGTCACACCCCAGAGAGGATATGTTCCCAAATTGCAATTAGAAGACATCTTTAATTTCTACCATATAGCTAAGAAAGTAACCCAACTGTAAAGTGGGGGTGAGAAAATATAAAATGGGGGGTATTTAAAAATCCCCAACCTTCAACTATGGCTGGTAACCTTCAATCGTCTAACGACCTTCCTTTGAGCAGTACCAATACAATGTGAACGTATGAATAAATATTGAAGGATTTATATAAATTGGTATATATGGAGATTGACTATTGGACCAAAAGGCATCTAACAGCAGCTGAAATCTTGCCAGTTCTCACTAAACTCACATTGAAAGTTGAGATCAGATGTGATTTACCGGTTTCAGAAAAATGGCTATTCTTCGACTAATGGTTCTTTTTGCTTGGGTTAAGACCCAAAATTGGGTACCCAATGTTTGAACAAGCACGTTACATTCATTCATCGGACTCGAAGTAATTATCCACAATAAATGACTTACTGCAGCACTCTTGCTATGATCCCCAGTGACCATCAGGTAATTAATCCTCTGCAAAGTAATGCAGTCTGACCAGCGATTAAATCATTACAAAGGGAAAACGGGCTAGATTAGATCACATTGGGGATTTCTTAATGTTCTCTCCGCCATTCCTTTTACTTTAGGACATGCTACTTATACCGATTGCAAGATGATTTAGTAGAACAGAAATTGTATACACATTGTATAACTCTGGAGTGTTGTATTGCCAATTTATGTTCTGGAAACCAGATACTTTACAACAGTGATGATTTCATGCTCTAATATAAAGTAAAGAGGTGACGTTCTGTTGTCCCCTAAAAATCCTCAGCAAGCTGGGTGTTCTTTAAGCGTATGGCGCTTTCCTTTAAACATGGCTTTATTCACCATCAGATTAAAAGAACAAGAACTACACCAACACGCCACTCCAGGTCCCTTTGGAAGGGACTACCAAAAAGTATACATTTGAGTATACAGTCTCTTGAAGCAGTTTAGGCAGCAACTATTGCAGTAAATGCATTATAAACCAATGTTAAAATTCGTGTAGGACCAACCAAAACTGGGGTACTTTGACAGAGATATGTTTAGAAACTTTATGGCTATATGGTGAGACTATATCACCCTATTTGCCAACATTTTAAGTAACCTTTTAAGATTTAGAGCTTTTTTGTGTGTATATGCTATTCCCTTAAGGGAAGTGTGGGTAAATGAGGTGGATCCACCTGGAAAGAAGGTGGGTCTAGCTGAAATACTAACAGGTCAGTCTGGCATAAATGCATGCCATGCTGTCCATCAATAATGTAATGCCATCTCACTGAGGGCAGACCATGCAGGTAGTACTTTTTCAGTGCCCTCTGCAGGGTCATAGTGCCCTGAAGATGGTACGACCGCATCTAAGTATGTGCTTATGCTAGGCTTGTTGGGGACAGTTCCCTCGTGGCCCCAAAAGGACACCGGGGAACAATACAGGATGGTGAGACAGGACCCGAAAATTGGAACTGCAATAAAATTTATCATAGACTACATTCTGTAACTCTTTGAAAAATTTGAACGTCTATTAAAGGACCACTATAGTGCCAGAAAAACACTCGTTTTCCTGGCACTATAGTGCCCTAAGGGTGCCCCCACCCTCAGGGTCCCCCTCCCGCCCGGCTCTGGGGAGAGGAAAGGGGTTAAAACTTACCTTTTTCCAGCGCTGGGCGGGGAGCTCTCCTCCTCCGATCCTCCTCTTCTCCTCCTGGGCTGAATGCGCATGCGCGGCAAGAGCTGCGCACGCATTCAGCCCGTCGCATAGGAAAGCATTTACAATGCTTTCCTATGGACGCTTGCGTGCTCTCACTGTGAAAATCACAGTGAGAAGCACGCAAGTGCCTCTAGTGGCTGTCTCATTGATTAGGATTAGGATTAGGGGGAAGGCTTAACCCATTCATAAACATAGCAGTTTCGTTTATAAAAAAAAATGGGTTAACCCTAGAAGGACCTGGCACCCAGACCACTTCATTAAGCTGAAGTGGTCTGGGTGCCTAGAGTGGTCCTTTAACCACGTCACTCCCAATAAAGTGTACACATATGCAGCTAATGTAATGAATCCTTCCTTAAGTTAAAAAATAAACACACATTTTGTCTCAGAAGATAAAAACTTTATTTTACAATATTATAAAGCAGCTTACATGAAGCATGACACTGATCTGTCTCCCTTATATATAAACATAGGAACAGGACCTCTTATTTTCTGCAAAAAATCTCAAGGTGTATAAAATCATCATGGGCACATTGTGCTTAAAATGCAAAGTCTATACAGAGTATTATAGGACCACCTCACCACAAAGGGATCCAGTAAACAAAGGATTGCATATATATGAGTGTGTGCACAGCACTAGATGTATACGCACACACTCACAAACACATGGTGTATCCCCCACATGTACGTAGATTGAATGTGAAACAGCACATATTGAAACCGCCATCTGTCTGCCATATGATCCTATACTCTGCTTCAGTACATTGTAAACCTAGGCCTCTGCCTGTTACAATGCCTATGCGTGAGTGTGAAATGTTTAAGGCAGACTGTTTATTTCCCCCAATGTACCATACACTGCAGAGCTTATAACAGACTTTAAAAAAAAATAAAAATATATATATATATATATAAATAAAATAATTTAAAAATGGCCAGCATCTCTACCTTCTATACAGTCCTCTGGCGGTAGCCACTGCTGGAATGTCTTCATTTGTTACACATCTCTTATTATTGGGGGTAGGGATTCATTCTAGACCCTCTGGTATAATTGGAAACTGGGTATAGCTTGCACAGAATTCATACATATAATTAGACATAATTCTTAACAGTCCTAACAATTTACTCCCTCCAAGAAAAGATGCGGTTTTAGGAACTTTATGGGAATTTCCCCTTTGTATTCTAATTGTTTGCATAATTTTTAATGCACGATTAATGAGTGATGTCACTTCCTGCATATTGTGTCCCTTTAAGTACTAATGGCAAGTCAGTTATAATAAAAAGTGATACGAGTAATCTCTTGTCCTTAAATGAACACTCCAAACATCATAATCACTAAAGCACATTTTCTGGCATCAGGAATGCCCCCCACCACTGGTCACCACTCCCAATACTATTGGAAGCTCATATTTTAATTTATTTACATTACCTCTTTCTCCTACTGAGACCACCAATCATGTTTCAGTGGGTGTTACTTTCTGAATGACAGACATCTCCTGCATTCCCATGTTTAGGAAGCACAGAAAAGTCCCCAGCACTTTAAGATAACATACAGATCACAGCCTTCTAATCTCTGTGCCAATTGGAACAGATTACATTGACAGACACAAGGCTGTTTAAAGCTTGTACTTTGCTAGCTATCTGTTGAAATGTGATTTTATAACATTTAAGATTAAGTTGCATTTGTTATGACAGGTACCCTTTAAGTCAAGCATTGGACCAAGGTGGCACCAGCTTTGGTTAGCTGGAACACATTGGGGTTCCTATATGGACTATGAGTGCCTGAAGATAATGTCTCTTCTTATTAATTATTCAGTATTCCCAGTCTAGCAAGTTCATTCCAAAGTGCAATATAGTAAATTAACGCTCTAAAGCCAACGGCTACCCTTAGCACCCTGGGATTTGTGGACAACCAATCTCCAACTGCAGTAAGAGGTGGAAGGTACATCACGGACCAACGACTACAACTTGCTTTGTCACACAAATAAAATACCAGAACTGAAATTTGAGATTAATAAAATGAAAGCAGTTACATGTGAAGGGAGGAAAACACAAGGCAGCCCAAAATTTGTTTGGTGCCATAAAACATTGATATAAAAACAAAATAAACTTTGCAGTGTATGTAACATGCCCAAAGTAATAGGAAATTGTTTAAAAGAAAATTTCACTCTCTGCACAGTAATAAACTGTATGTGTATCAGCACAGTTCTCACAGTGTTCAGCAGAGACCTTTCTTGAGTAAATCTACAGAGAAGCAGTGATTGCAATGGTTCGGGGAAACACCTACAGGTATTGTCTCTCATAAACATATTTTAATAAATATTTTCTGTAAAAATTGTCTTTCTTGCTCTCGGCAGATATAAAACTAAGTATTTTTCTTTTGATCTTGGGTGATATGCTTCCTTGTGTAGAGGGAAACACAGCAGCTAGGGGAGCGTACACATATTGGGCAGAATCTTTGGAATCCGGGAGACATTTTGTATCAGGAATCCTATCAGAGTAGGAAGAATTAAAGTGCATTAGACAGGATTCCTAGTATTCTGCTCTTAATATTAGTTAGAATATGGAAAGAATTCCCAAAGAGAAGGTGTATTTAATATGTATCTTGTTCCAAAGTGTCACTGAAACATTTTCATTCACTACATACTATTGATTGTCAACACAGTATATCTGCACCTGAAAACAATTTAAAAAACAAACAAAAAAACTACTAAAAGCTTTTGTCCCATTACAAGACCAAACTGGACTGCAGTTTTTATCGTAAAATTGTGAGACCTCCAACGCTCTTTCAATGACATTTACATCAACTTGGGACCAGTGATGAGAAAATCTAGCCAACTCTTTGGAACACTTCTATAAATCCTTCAACCACTTTCACACTTTCCAAAGTCGAACTAATATTAAATATAAACACTAGTATGTTTAACACACCTTGAGCTAAATGAGAATTTGAGAACCTCAGGCATGACAGACACCAGAGAGAAAAGGACAGACCCTGGCAGCTTTTGGTTTCTGGCTATTTTTCAGATGCTCGTCTTAGTTGTGCTTTGCTCTGCCTCCCTTCAGATAGGTCTTCCAACGTCGGGCAAAGTCTTTAAAGATTGGAGAGCCATCCACACTAGCAAGGAGTTGAAGTTGGTTAATGTGGGTGGTGTGATAGTCCCAGCGGGCAAGATTTGGAGCAGTCCCCAGCATAAAGTGTCTCAAATCATAAATGCTCCCAGATCCAGTGTCATAAAGAGGCAACATAGCACGCAGGGATTCCATCCCCCTTTCAAACAGCAGACTTGCCTCTTTTCCCTGCTTTTCTTCCGCAGTCTCCTTTAGATCATATAGACCAAGCAAGGCATAGATGAAGCCATTCAACACAAAAGAGCTGGGAGTGGTAGGGTATTCCTCATACCAATCATACTTGTTCATGAACACAGCTTTCACCCCATGTTTTTCAGAATTTAGCTTGAATGGAGCAGTCGCTTTGAGTGCAGACTCAAGGTATCGCTGCTCCTTGGTCAACAAGTATGCACGAACCAGTGTAGATATGGCTTGCCCCTGGGCCATAGCAGAGTACCATCCTGGTTCCAATGCCTTGAACCCCTCGCCTAACTTGCGAGTGACCATTATTGGCCAGCCACCCTTGGCATCCTGATTCCTTACCAGCCAATCACTAGCAGAAAAGAAAGCAGCTGTGTGGGCGGTTGTTGAAATCGTAATGTTGTCAAGAAACCCGTTGCCCTTCACCACAATCCGAACAACCTTCTTCGGCATGATCTTTGTTTGTCGTACAGCCTTTGTGTTTGACAAACCCACCCCCTTTTTCAGATCTGTGACTAGATCACGAGTCAGTGTGCTCCAGGTCAGTCGGGATCCCACCCCATAAAAGACATCGTGGTTATGGAAAGTAATGAGCTGTGTGTTTGTGATGTAGTGTATAGTGAAAATCTGGTTCTTCTCTGTGGTCTCAAGCACCACTGAGATGCTGCCATTAGTCAAGAATTTAAGGTCAAGAGACAAAATAAAGTCTTTAGTGTTTCCCAGTGTCAGTGATGCACCCTCTGAATTATCTGGAATAAGAAAAGAAGAAGAAAAAAAGCAATATGGTTAGCAACAAAGTATATTAAAATTAGACAAACTACATAATATTAAAGGGTTACTTTAACCACCATAACCACTACAGCCCGCAGATGCTGGATGTCATTTATGCAGCTTACCGATTGCATGACAGCTCTCAGACAATGAATAAGAGGCTGTGCATTGAATGCACAGAACAGCCATTAGCCAGCTTATGACACCCCAATGATGAGTCAGGAGGTAGTGTTAAACATCCAGCAGCACAGGGGTCATTCTCAGTATGCGCAGAGTTTCAAAGAAAAAAAATTATGCACATACAGACTCCAGACAAAATGATCATTTCAAATCACTGAAGTGCTCACTGTATGTGGAGTAACCCTTCAGAGTGCTTGTCTCTTAAAAATAAATAATAGAACATAGAATAATAAGATCAGACATTTTGCAACCAGTGCACATGTGGCAGTTTTTCTTCTTTATCTATAGATGTCCCTGAGGGTTTAAGCACTACTATGTCATCAAGCCAATTAAAGAGTTAATTACAGCTAGCCTTAATACAGTTGGTTAGAGGAATACAAATCTGTCAGGAAAAAGGTTTAAAAACAATGTATGGAAAGAAAACAATAATCGTGCCAATGAATGTATGAAAATTGGAAAGGGGGTTCTCTCATACCTCTATTATTCCTCTGTTTATAGAATGCCTAAGCTGAAATGGTCACTGGCCCCTAGCAGAGGATTCACTTCATAACAAGAAGTAGACTGCTAGCAGCTAAATTGCAAGTGATAAAAACCACAACCTTGTACTGAGTGCTTCCACACTTTAGAGAATACTTCTTCCCCTCCAGCTCCTCTTTGTAGCACTAGCAAGAGCCATTCACTAATTCACACTTTCCTCTACTGCCACTTTAACAAGCCTTTAATGTACTGTAGTTCTGGCAATCAATACCCATTAGGATTAACGAGTCAATCACTTCAGTAGACAATGAAGTCACCTCTAGATAAGCCCTTGGAGGATAAAGTTGGAGAGTAGGCTCCCCCACTCTTCTAATTAATGTATGAGAGATTCTCATCGCACATTTTCTAAATTGGTTTGTCACCAACCAATCAGGAAGCTCCATCCTGATCTGCGCCAGACAAGGAGCAGGGGTAATGTCAATGGACAGAAAGCTCTGAGTAAGGGAGAGCTATTTCTTTAGTGGAGAATGTTCACAGCTAAGTGCTAAATGCATTTCATATTTCCATGCTCCAAACATTCTGCACAGTATGAGCTTGTTCTCAAAACAAGTGCTGTGCTTTCTTTCAAAATAGCTGGCTCTAGGTCTGCAGTTAAAATTAAGAATGTTATAAAAAATGCTTATTACTTATAATTTCAGAACATTTTGATAATTAGATCTACCTGCTAATTATTTATTTAGATTACATCAGAACTTTCTCGATCTTAATAATGTGCTGGAATTATCCTGTAGGTATATTATGTTCGCTTACAGTTAGTGAAAAAAATAAAAATCCTGGTCTTTAAAAAGCACGGTTTAAGATGGACTACAATTTCAATGGGAATTATCTGTCAAATCCTCAGTCTACAGAAATGCATTTACATAATTTAGGTAGGAACGTAGTGGAGCTAAGATCTATGCATAACTTGGCAGCTATAGTAGTAATTTGTCTAGCAAGATTATTACTAACCTGGAACTACAAAATGCTTTACATGGCTATATCTGGTCTTGTCATACACAGTGGTAACAGATGCCCCTTTCGGAAGATTCCAATCACCAGTTACACCTCCACTTTTCTCATCGGCTTTTTCGTACACCTCCACGTGTGGTGGCTTCTCTGTTAAATTCTTGCTGTAGTGACTCAAACCATACTGGGCAATTTGGATTGGGTAGAAGTATCCCTGTGGACCCCACTGGGTGGATAGCGGAACCCCTAAGAAAAATATAAACAAGGCATATAAAATACAACATATCAGCAGCTACACATACATCACAGTCCTAGCCTTATTCACATACAAATCCAGGATATGGATTTTACTTGTGTATTGACAAACAATAATAATCTTAATAATATGTGTATTTCACCACTTACTCATTTTCGCAGCTAGTGGCTGACTTTTGCATAGTGTCAGGGTCCAGAGACACCCAATCATTTCTTACATCTATTGTACAAGATCTACTTATTACTGTATATTTGTCAAAATACAAATTATACACACATTTTTAAATGTATGTTGCTTTGTTAATAATTTGTCATCAGTTTTTTGTGTGTGTGTGTGTGTGTGTGTGTGTGTGCACGAGCGAATTATGATCAATATTTATTGTCATTTTGACAATACAAAACAAAATCGAAAATATTAATTTGAATCCTTTGAAAGTTAGACCGGGTGAATGCAGTACATGCTAAAATACATTAGAAAAAGCAAGCTGTACTGCTACAAACAGACCTAATGTTATTGTGACTGAATGGGAAATAAAGAAAAGACAATTTACATCATCTACCAGTAGAATATAATAAGCAATGGATATCAACACATAACAAAAAGTATGTTTGTCTTATTACAGAAAGTGAATGAGCATTCAAATGTAAATGGTAAACTGTATCTCATTAAGAAACTGTATAAGGTGAGAAAAAGTTAAATCAATGAACAAGGTACAAATAGGAGAGAGAACAAATGACACCCCTGCCTTGTAATATAATGTATGCGATTCAGTCCCAGGAGTATTCAATTAACTATTATTTGAATTGTTGATAGGTGCCTATATCAAAGAGATCAAACTGGACTGACAACCCAGAATGATCCTTCAAAAGCAGCAGAGGGCCCGATTATACACAAGCAGTCAGATAGGTAGAGCACAAGAGAAAGTATATTTCCATGTAAATGCACTCACCGTTCAGTTCACTTATCTCAAATTAAGCCTGCGGGGAGTCAGGCACATTACATGTCCATATCACACCTCTTTGGATACTATTAATAAGGCACCAGTGCACACAGTGAGGAGTGCAAATGTATTTTGTCAGATTCCAACATACCAAAAAAAAAAAAAAAAAACCTGCTGCTAAATATCTACCTATCCTGCACAAAACCAAATATCTCAGACAGAAAATATGGTTTACAATGCAGAAGGATAGTTGCTTGTAAACCCAATATGTCTTGACATAGCAGTCAAAACACTTGGCTATGATGTGGTACACTAACCTAACAGGATTCCATGACCCCTGCTCCAACTGGATAAATTCATTTGCTGTCAAATTAAAAAGGGATTTGGTCTTTATTTTGCGCTCACATTAAGATCATTTACACAGAGCCACTGTGGCTGACAAGCACCCTAATGCTGGATGCCCAGTCTATTTCAGCATTAAATGTCAATCTAATGTGGTATGGACTACCTCTTACTGGCCCCTGCATATTCCCTTTAGAATTCACTAGTGTCCTTGAACCGAAAACAATGACTCTAGCTTCTGGAGACATTAACACTTTCATTGCAAAAGCATCTGCAGTGCTACTGTGAGATAAAGCATCATGGCTGCTTCACTTAATGCTCAGTTAGCATCATCAAGAAATGTTCATTGGTTTTGGTAAACAACCCATGGTTCTCCAATGACAGTCACAGCATGTTCAGCGATGGGCTGCTTAATGCCCGAAATACCATGTCCAGAACATATAGTCAAAGCCGTGAATTAAAATTTGTCCCTCATAGACCTTTTACAGGCCGAGCTTTAACCCTTTCCACAAACTCACTGTAACTCTCAATAATTGCTCACCTTCTGTCTCACACTAATCTCCACTGCAAGTTCAGCCGTATCCAATCTTATTCAAACTCACCTTCACCCATTGTTATATCACAGCTGCTATCGGTCTGTTGATGCATACCGCCATCTCCTAAGTGTTTGACCAGGGCCGTCTTTAAAAGGGGGGCAAAAGGGGCAGCTGCCCCGGGCCCAGGTAGCTGCCCCATGGGCCCCCTGCCAGCATCCAAACCCTGTGCTCTGCGATACCTGATGTAATCAGGGGCCTGACTCTTTAAGAGTGCTCCAGCCTGGGTCCCTTTCATGTTGCCTGCTGGGAGGAAGTGGAGGAGGCATACACAGGAGGAAGAAAGAGACTGAGGAAGTCAGACTCCCATCAGCCTTGGCCATCCATCTCCCACTGGACCCCAGTAAAGCCAACCTTCTGTACCCAAAAGGTAAGGAGATAGGAGGGTGTCTAAAATATGATGTAAATTGATATATGTGTGTACCTGGGTCTGAGTCAGTGCATCTGGCTATATATGTTTGCATCTGACGGTGGATGTCTGGCTTTGTGTATGTCAGTGTGTGTACATGGCTGTGAGTGTGTGTACCTGGCTGTGATGTGTGTATCGTGTGTATCTGGCTATATGTGTCTGTGCATCTGTATACCTGTGTATGTGTACTTGTGTGTCAATGTGTACCTATGTGTGTGCAAGTATATTATATGTATACACACACATACATACACACACATATATATATATATATATATATATATATATACACATATATACACACACACACACACACACACGTCAGTATGTGTAAGTGTGTATCTATGCGTGTGGCAATGCATTAATCACAGCATTCCAATGCCAACACTGCACACACATATGCTAACACTGCACACAAATACACTACTGCGTTCCAACAACATTGCGCATAAATGCACCACTGCATGTGTGTCTGTGTGTATCTAAGTGTTTGTGTGCAGTGTTGGCGTTGGAATTCTGGGATATATGCATTGCCACATACACACAGATGCACACTTACACAAATACACCCCTGCATGTGTACCTGTGTGTATCTGAGTACATATCGGTGTCAGTGTGTATCTCTGTGGATGTGCCAGTTTATGTATCTGTGCTTGTGCACCAGTGTCTGTATCTGTTAGAGTGTGTGTGTTTGTGTGTGTGTGTGTGTGTGTGTGTGTGTATATGCCAGTGTGCTTGTGTTAGTATGTGTATTTGTGTGTCAAGTTGTATGCTTGTGTCCAGGTATGCACATGTATCATTATGTTTGTGTATGTATATCTGTGTTAGTATGTATGTGCATACATCCAGGCAATCAAACACACCGCTGCAAACACAATCATTATATAGAAACCACTAAAATCAAACTCCAAAATTGTATACAAACAAACCCTTCACTCACACCAATACTACACACAAATGTACATCTGCATTTAAAAGACAACACTACATCCAAACACACCCCTTTATTAAAACGCTAAAATTATATACAAACACCATCTCTACACACAAAAGTACACCTGCATTTAATAGCCAACACTACATACAAACACACACCCCTATATTCAAATGCAAGTACACCACTGCATTCCAATGGTAACAGTACACACAAATACAACCCTTCATGCACACACATACTCTATACAAAAACATGCATTCAAATTCACAAACACTGCTCACAAATACAACCCTACAGGAATGGCCAAATGGTAGATCCCCAGCTGGCATGGGGATCTATATTTTCTCCACTCTTGTGCTAGAGGGGAGATCCAAAAACTATTTTTTGAACCAGGCCCTCTCTACATTAGTTCCATCACCAGGATGGGGTGGAGGCCGTGATTGCACGCCAGGGAGCTGGGGATTATGAGTGGGGAAGAGGGCAGGGTCCAGGGGGCCCAAGCAAATGCTTGCCCAGGGTCCAATCGATATTAAAGACGGCCTGTGTTTGACCATGTATAAGTGCATGGTCAAACTTATATTATTGATTTTGTCAATATAGTAGTTACTTATTTACTGCTATCCTTGTCATACCCTTTTCTCCTTTTACAACTCTGTAGCTGTTCCCAGTGTTTAGTGATTGTTTGCTGCCCTTTCTACCTACTATTGGACTTTTGTCTTTCTATACTAGACTATTTTAAGCCAGGCTTGGGTTTTGCTTCCATTAGCCGGTAACAGCAATTAGGTAGGATCAGGCTATCATTCATTATTGCTTATTTATCCTATTTTGCTAATACCATATACTTTTCTGACCAGATATAGTATGTATTATCTAGGCATCTAGCACCTCTCCTAACTGTTGCCTTTGGTCTACCAGGTTATACTCTATGGTTTACATCAGTATTTTCAGTATTAGTTTTTGTTATTTTCTTTTAAGACCTTTTTCTAGATTGGACTGGGATTTTAACCTAGTGGTCACTATCCACGAGAGTGGTCTCCTAGGTTGTTCCTCTATATTTAAGGATCTACATGTGGCTGCTCAAGAGTTAGAAAAGAAAAAAGAAAAAACTTGTTTGTATTAGCACCAAATGATACCTGTTATGAGAAATGTAAAACTCATTTGTATAATCCAAAAATATAGTTTAATGAGCTATTTATGCAAAATGAAAATAATAATGACAAAAAATGCAAGTTATACAGTCTATACATTTTTTCTTTTCTGTATTGGCAATTTCTATGACCCATACCTTCTACTCCACTGATGCATTTTACTCTGTCTCTGACCTCAACGTTATATCCTTCAAAAGACATGAAGACGCCGTCAGGATGGTATGGTCCACGTTGGGCATACACTTTGGAGTAACTGTGGGAAAACTCAAAACGATCAAAGCCATCATACTGGGATATTTTGCCATAGACTTCAAAGTATTTTTCTACCCAGGAAAAAGGCATGTACACCTCACTCCCCTCTCTCCGGCATCGCACAACCTGATCCTCATTGATCACACAGTCTAAATCTTCATATTTTGGTTTAGTCAATTTGCTCTCCACTAGTGGTGGAGCCTTTTGCTGCTCTTGTGGTGAAGCCTCCTCAGAGCGAGGCAGTCCCTTGGCAGCATTACTCTCTGAAGCCACTGCCCTTTTCTCTAAGCTATCTGCTCGGAAGATTTCCTGAGGGCCCCATGGTAGGCTGGATGTGTGGTCATTTGAGGAGCATCTGTTCCAAAGTAAGACTGTCACCAATGTGAAGAGAGAGCAGATAAAGATAAGCGTCTTGTAGTTGACCCGAGCTGCCAAGCAACGCATGTTCACACCATACCTAAAAGGGTAGACAGAACAGATTAATAAGCATGCGCAAGTAAGTGTGCTATACATGAGATCAGGATGCAATTTGGATTTAAAGGGCTTATTGCCTAAACGAGTCAGATATTTTTTTAGAAATATTCTCAGTATAACCATTTTAAGAAAAAAAAATAATACACGTATTATATATTTTTACACAAACCCATTGTTGTGGATATAGTCAACTTAGTTCCAATATATTTAGATATCCAGAAAATAAAATAAAAAGCTTAACCACTTAATATAGTGGTCCCATGAAAGGACCCAAGAGGCAATAGCATAGAAAAACTCATAAAACACAATTACATTCAGCATTCCCAAAATATTGAACTGTTGGCATTCCAATGTGAGGCTCAACTCTATAACTCGCATCAAAATTAACTGTGCATTTAACCTGTGGAAACCAATAGCTGCTCAGCAAATAGTAAGCCGAGTGCACATCATTCATTACTCCTTCAGCGTAATGCAAAAATCTAAAATCCAGACAACAGGAAGCCATCTAGAGAGTCTATCAAGGATAGCAAGTTAAAAAATTGACTGTGCCCACCCTAGACAAATGGCAGCATATACAATATAATATAGATTTTCCAAAAGCATGACATGGATAATAAATGGGAGCCAGTATAAGTGGAAAAAAAAGAACAGAATTATTGAGAGATTATAAAGACAGACTGATTGATTGTTTCTAGTCTGTCTATCTAATCAGTGCAGTTGTATTACAAATTGTCAGAGAGCCACCACAGACTGGATTCTACCAATCCATTCTATGTCAGCAATGAACACAGTGGTCTTAGACAGACAACAGCATACAGTCATACACCTTTTCACATCCACACATCTCACTGCACCATTACACCATGATGGAGGACCGATACCTCCTAAGTAGCAGCAATTGTATAGAATCCACGTGTTAAACAGAGTTGGCATACAACATTTCAGTAAAAGGCCTTAGTGGGTTACTCCAACCACCAATATCACTTCTGCGATTTGAAATGATCATGGTGGTAGGAGTCTGTATGTGCAGTGTTTCAGCTAAGCAGTTGAAACATTGCAAGAGTGTCTGCAAGGGGAAGTTCTCTCTGTTGCAGAGTTATGTAAAAAATAAATAAAATATATCCCTTTAAGTGTATGCACTTTGAACCAGCAGAGTGATAGAAGTGCAGGATCATCTATATAAAAAGTCTGTGATTGGACCACATAAGGCCACTGTGATGTCAGGGGGCACAGAATACATGCACTTGGAGCTTTGTACGGCACTATACTGCCATTACGTAAAATCTTTATTTTGCAGGCTTTATAGTGCCTATAGAAAATTTTACACAGTGAAGTTTTACACAGGGCCCCCCCCCCCTCCCACCCAATGGATTAGAGTAACCCTTTGATCATATATAGCAGGATATAGTACACATTACAGTTTAAATATCTGCAGAATTGGCACAAACTTCAGACACTCCCCAATTAAGTGTATTTAGTAACCATAGTAATGAATTACACAGTTGTGTTACACAGCTCATCATAACGTAAACATCTCACATAGTTTGCCAAGTAAGTGGTGTAACCCTATACAGAATAAGGGGAAGGAGAGGGAATAGTGCATTAAAAAAGCCTAAAATAAAAAAAGTATCCTTTCTAACAATATAGTGTTAAAAAAAAAAAAAAAAACACAACAACAAAAGACCATCAGCAGTATGAGTTGCCAACTATAGGACTCATCAGAGCTCTGTCACATTATGAATTGCCATAACAACAGTAGTTAAAAACTAGTGCAAACTGCCAGGGATATAAAGCTATCGATACTTGGAAATCTGAGGTCCCAAATTAACTTATAGGCACAGTGGTGTAGCAGGAGTACATTAAGCAGCAAGACATAATTGTAAAAATACCCTTGAGGCAAGAACCACAGCTAAGTGCAAGCACAATATATCCGAGGTCAGCAATCACCATTTGATGGTAATTACAAAACCGATCTGGACCACCATTCCACAGAATTTTTTTTTCTAATAATTTCGTACTTTCACCTTAAAAGGGAAGGGACACTATAGACACTAAAGCCATTGCAGCTTAAATTTAGAATGGGGAAACATTTAATTGGTTGAGACAGAGTGCCAGCAGCCAGTCACTGAAGTTAGAATTTGAAAGTAAGTCAAACAAAAAAATGATAGGAAAACAGCAACATCAGAGATGGGAAGTGTAGAATAGAGGGGCATATATCAAGGGTGGGAAGTATGGAATATAAGGGGATAATAGGAAGGAAATTTTTAAATGAAGAGAACACCAGGAAGAAAAGAAGTTTGATAGAGGAGGACACCAGGGCTGGGAAATATGAGGAGAGAAAACACAAGTGGGCTGTCTGTGCCTGCGTCCGCTCATCTGTGTCTATGTGTGTGCCTGTGTCTGTAATTAACTGCATGTCAGGAGACACGTTAAGAGGTGGAGTCCCGGAGGGGCGTTCGGAACAGAGCAAATTATTTTGGGGTTCAAGCCCCAGGGTGTTTTTTTACCTTAGCAACACATCTGGCTATATTGTTCCTTTAAAAATATAGATCCAATACTCTGTGTGTGTACATAAAGAGAAAATATTTAGATAAAATAAATCAATTATTCAATTACTATCAGAACAAATGTTACACATGTGAGACATTTTACATCTATAATAGAAAGCAAGTAATAACCTACCGCCCTAATAAAGAATATATTTCTAACTGGAAACCCTGGTGTATGCGATGAGACTTTCACTTCGTAGTGGCGACGACGAATGTTTTTCCAAACAGAAAATAGGTGAAGTGGCGCTAAACAATAATAAATCCCAGTGCGGCAAAAAAACAAACCAGTGTTTTAGTCACCTTAAAAACACTTACATGTACAAATATATTATATATAGTGTTTTTACATACTGTCCTATGATAGTTATTTATGTTGCAGATTGTATCATTATCCAACGTGTGCGCAAAACCTCCTTCTTTTATCCGATGAATCTTTTTCACTAAACTGGGAATTGAACATAATTGACAATGGAATTGAATTCTATTGCACATTGTAGACCACAACCACTAAGACCGAAAAAGCAAAGTTCAATTTGAGCTGTTTTGGCCTAAAATTCCCTCGCCGTTTCTCTACAAATATGGATTTCACAAGCTTGAGAGTCCTCTCCTGCCTCCTCCTCTATTTCAGATGTGTTCAAGCGTTGCTAAGGTGACTTGCTCCCCTTAGCAGATTGAAAAACACACAAATGTTCTGCTAGAAGCATCCTGGAATCCCTAGGGAATATCACACAGTTTTCTGACTGCACTGAGACCTCTAATCAGCAGGTATGACACTTGTAACAATCATTGCTTAAGATAATGATTCTGTTGCAAATGTGTTTAGATCTAAGTTGCTCCCATGCAGGATGTCCACAGCTTGTGTCCGCTGGTATTAAGTGGTTTACAAAGGGTGTAATTACACACCAGCAAACTAATGAACATAAATTATTTAACTCTTTATACATCAAAAATACCTTAATACAAAGACAGACTTAAATGCAACTATCATGCAAAAAGATTCAGTTTTCAGATGTAACATTTCTTTTCTTTTTTTTTTTTTTATTAAACAGAAAATGTAGTTCCCACTCCTTTTATGCATTATTGCGATGGTGGAAAAATGAAAATAAACAAATTGTGATGGTTTGGGGATGTACACATTTAAGTTGCAAGCTCAGACTTGTATGCTATGCAAATCCAGACCCACATGAAATAGCATATCATTTAAAAATCGGTAAAGCATTTCCATATAGCAAGTGATTCCTTATTCCTGTATCAACAAATGGTAATAGCCAAGAGTTAAACGCATGCCAGTCGTTACTGTTTAATACCCCATATTTTTATTCGCAATGAACGTGTGAAAAGAATACACGACACAGTGCACAATGGACTGCATGTAAAGGAATTGGATGTAAATGATGTAAATTATGATTTTCATGTTAGGGTAAAAAAATAAATAAAATAAAATAAAAAGAATTAAGCAAAATAAAAACATGGGGGAAAAAAAAATACTACTGAGGAAATTTTAAATTGACCAAACATTTTAATATACAAGAGGGAAAAAAAAAATCTAGATAAGGGAAACCTATGAGAAAAGTGTGGGTATTTAGATCCAGTATATATCCATATACGGTACTGAAGTGCATCTGATTAATTCAATAGTGTGAGATCTAACCTAAACAAAAGAAAAGGGTGAGAAGCAAAAGCCAACATATTTGGGTAAAAGTTGATACCATGGCTCTTAAACGTGTAAGGGATCTTCTTATGATGGATCAGAATGAGTTTTTGCCTTGACAATTTGAAGTCAGATTATCAGGTTAATGAAAGCAAAATATGGCACCTTTGCAGAGACATTGCTTGCTTGTGCAGGAATAGGACAACAAAGATTGTAGAGAGAAACTGGAGAAGATTTATCATATTTATTTTGTCACTATAACCCTCATCTTGAGCCTGCTCCTTCTATGAAGTAGGTCTGCTGTCTTCTTCAACTGATTTAGCCAAGCTAATGACCCAGACTATTTCTTCTTTAAGTTATATTTCTACGTAGGTCTGCCAGAAGACTATTCCTGCAGTGATAGCATTAGATATAGAATGCCCTTGGAGCATACTATAAGTGTGTTCCTCACACTGTCAAAAGAAAGTTCATCTAAGACGACTAAGAAATCTTGACATGCTGTGCCCTATTTGGACCCGTTTGACACTGCGAGCATTGCAACAAAAGCACATGTTTGCAAGTGGCACAATAAAAATAGAGACTTCAGAAATGTGTGGGCTCAGGGTCCAACGCTTTAACGAGAGTGATTTATAACAGAGCCCATTCTTTGGGAATAAACTATTTATCCCATAAACCCTTGCTGGAGTGGGGACTAATGCATATGACCAGTCTTCATTATTTTATTTTTAATTGCCTTTTTAATGTATTGGTTATATAATGCATTAAAAACTAGAGGATTTTTGTGGGGCAGAGCTTGATTTTCATCCTGAACAGACACCATTCTATACAGCTCCCCACAACAAGTCTATAACCCGCCGAAAATCTCGATACCCGCAGCCCATCCAGCCTCCTAAAGTAGCCAGCTGGACTCCTTAAGTCTTACGGAGTCCATAGATGCCGTTCTCTCTGGCACCCAACCAGCCTAAACGGAGGCGAAAACTCGAGGCCTACCGGATGCTCCAAAGCCTGGAGGCACTGTTTTGCGGCGCAGAGAGACAAACCTACCCCCACGATGGCAGTCCCAACAGCCCACGTGCCAGCTATGGGCCACCGCTCACAGAAACCGCAGGCTGTGGCAGGCAGCAGGGACATAGGGGCCATGCTGCAGAGGCCCATGCCACCTAAACCTTTGCCAGCAGAAACTCTCACTTACCGACCTGAACAGACAGGGCCTGAGGCCCTGCTGGACACGCGAGAAGCTCCATCACCACAGCCTACAGCCTCCTCTGACCTGACACAAACTACCAGGTACAACCCAAAAGTGTTATCGGACTTTCACAAAATACTGTCAGCAGAGCTAGCACCCATAAAAACTGGCATGAAAACAATCACAGAAAGGGTGCAAGCTACAGAACAGGACATAACTCTCATTCTCATACAATCCCAGCTTTCCACGCTCCAAGACTCGGTGCAACAGGTCTGGTCCCAGCATAGGGCCATGTCTGCACAGCTGACAGTCATGGAAAAACACCAACGGCGCACAAACACAAAAATCAGGGGTGTCCCTGCAGAAATCGCGACCAACGAACTACCATTCTATGCCAGACGCCTATTAGCCACTATTCTGACCCATGCTATAGCAAAGAAACTGACAATTGAAGAGATATACCGCTCCACTAAGGTGCACCAGACGGCAGCCTGAGACGTCATACTCAGGTGCCCAATGGTCCATGATAAAATCCAGATAATGTCAGGACTCAAAAATAGGGCACCTTTGGCCTTTGAGGATGTATCCCTCACGTTCTACGAAGACCTGACCAAAGCCACCCAAATCCTTTGTCCCCATCACAAGTAGTCTAAGAACAGCAGGCATTGCCTACAGGTGGGGAACAAAAGGATCTCTAATAGCAAACTGTAATGGAAACACACACACACACACTCCTGGAGGCGCTGGGACTACCACCACCGACTGCCAAACCATCTACACGGCAAACTGCTGGATCCTGGGATCCCGAACACATTGCTCCCCTATTCAGGCACTGCCTTAGCTTAATGACTCCAACCAGTTCTTCACATCTGTTTTACCTTAAGTACAGTAATGGTTTAGTATTTACATTTTTCACACTGACGTTTGACACAACACTTTTAGCATAGCTCCAAATTAAAAAGTCACAGGCTTGAGAAACTCGCATCACACACACTTTTACGACAGAACTAATGGGCATTTAATATTTACACACAGTTGTTAATCCTTTAAGAGACTTTCATAAAATCTGATCACACAAATGAACATGAATTGTGCATTCAACCATTAATCTAAAACAGATTAAAATTACTACAACATAGAAGAGGACTATCCCTCTAAATCACTTGCAAATCAGGCAGTATCGATCCTCTCTAAAATCAGGTTATTGGCAAAGCAGTTATGGGAAAGCTTTAACATTTCTGAACAATTTTAAAGGGATCCTGTCATGCCCATATTGACTTTAGCTCCTTTAAAAAAAAAAAAAAGAGTTTCAAATTCCATCTATGCATTTGCTGGCAGTTTTGCTACCAAATGTATAGATTGGGGGGAGAAAAAAAAAAATCTTATTTTAAAATGATGCAGAAGAGAGAGGTCTCTCTGTTCTCCACCCAGAGCAACCACAACAGCTGCTAGCACTCTCTAGGGAGTATAGGAATGGAGTGACAAGACGTTACTACATTCAGACTCCAGCACGCTGGCAACAAAGCCAACATCTTGGCTTCAAGGAGGAGGTTTAGCTTGCTTGGGGAAATGTCCCCAAGCATGGTAAATCAACGAAGAGCTAAGAAGGAGCACACCTCTGTAAGGAAATCAGAGGGCCAGGTACATGGTAAGCATTTCCTTTCAAGGGCGTTCTCTCAGGAGCTTCAGCAATTGTGACAAAATGATACACCAAATAGAGAAAACTGAAGTGTCTCATGAAATCTGATGGACAAGGACTGCTCTTGAGCTACTGTTAAAGGGACATGTGTCACGGGGACAACTGCCTCAAACAAAAGCTTTAGCTTTGCATGACAGAGTTGCCTCCCTCTGCAGACTAAGAAAGCAAGTAAATATGATACTTACCTGCTTCTTTCTTTCTTATGCTTTCCACACCCATTCCAGGAGGACACTAATCCCAACAAATGCTGGAAACGTGGGAATGTCTGACATATTCCAGAGTGAGAGAAGAATTGGAGCCTGATCAGTGCAATTCATGCAGAGCAGGCTACGGTGTTGGGTTTCTCTCTCCTTTTGCACAATAATGCCTCGTTTCTGTTATGTGTACTGGTATGGGTTGGAGGCTGTACAAATTCCACTACCGGAGAGGTGTGCCTAACAATGCAATTTTGTTTGCATATTTAAACCAGTGTTTGCTTTCTGGTTAAACATTTTTTTTATTTTTTATTTTTAGAACTGTCCAGTGATGCATGTTTCTTTAACTTTAAATGCCATCACATACATGAATTTGTATATTAAAGGGTTCATGGTGTGCATATCAAAAAAGTTTCAGTTCTTAAGGTTCCACAATGTAAACAGTTCTGTTTGTGTATATTAAACTGGAGTTTAAAGTTTACTTATATGCAGGTAACCTAAGGATAGATAGATATATACACAAACATTTTATATCACATGTATTTTAAAATATCATTCAATCAGCTTTTTAGCAGACCATGAAGTTAAAGCAATTTTATCTTGAGGCATTGCAGAGAAATTTTCCATCCCATGGCAATGATTGTGCCCATCCATCACTAGGGGAGCACTAAAAATAAATAGCAAGCCATTTTATCCTTCCATCTTGTTTGAAATGACTACCTGCGACTGCATTAAAACTTCCAGATACTTTCATTCTCTTCGGCTTGATTTTATGTGGTTTACAAGCCTAAGCGGACAGCGCATACTTCACATTCCACTTTATGTACCACGACTTCTAGCATTAAAAATCAAACAGATTGAAAGCAGTCTGCTAATTCAGTTCCTTTTTTTATGGATGTTTGCGAATGCATACTCCATCCAAGAGCCAACTTTATTTTCACTATATAAAGAAGCATAAACACAGATCTAAATCAGCCAACAACACAATAGATATTGAAAAATACTGTTAGGTTTAGTAACTGAATAACAAATTCTAGTGAACAGAAAAACTGCAACAGTCAATAATTAATCATCTGACATTTTTTCTCAAACTCCACTAGAACAGATTGGCTATTAAAGATTACATTTTGCAATGGCCAATTGGCTAAACGAATTAACACCTATAACCTTTTAGTACAGATCATGGATGGCAGAGGATGATGTGTTAGAACAGACAAATAATAGTCATGTTAACCCATTAAGTTCTTATGGTACAAAGTAGCAGTACAGACGTTCTATTGTCAAACAAATCCAATGACTAAACTGCTAGTCCCTGTCTGGGAATAAGATGAATATTTACTATTACTGTATAATAAGGAAGGAACATCTTCGGAATCTCTCTGCACACTGCATAGACACACCAACAGCATCAAATGCTGCCAAAAATCTATTCAGTCTATGCCAACAAAGCAATTATGGCGCATAAAGCAGTTTATATCTTTAATTTATCACTATTTAGTACACCATGTCAACCAAAGGGAAAAAAGTGTCAGTTTTTTTTTTCCTGTTGTCAATTTCCCCCCCAAAAATGTAAAAATAAAGACCAGAAAGGGCAACAGTCGTACAGCACACATGCCAGATGGAATTAACACCTATTTAAAAAAAGTAATTACACCTTTTTTTTTTTTAAATAGTGCCACTACTTGACCATAGTCAGTAATGCCATTTATGATTGGACACACATCCCAACATGTAGTAACCAATAACCCACCAGCCATAAGCATCCAGAATATGCATGGACAGCCTCCATATGTGCAATAATAATAGTCATGATTTGAAAGAATCGCTGCAGTTTAGAGGTCAGTTGCACTATACTAGAAAGTCCATCCAGTCGGTCACAATAATATAAAGAAGAAGGGTGCGTGAATCATAGCAAATCTTTGTATCCATATATCTATATATTGAGACACATTCTCACCTGGAGTTTGCCGTCTGGTCTGTTCAGTAACTTGCATGTGCATGCTCGTCCAACTCTCTCCAAAGAAGCTATGCTGGCAACTGCGCAGAGTGCTTCTAGGCTACATTATAAGCAACAAGGATGAACATGCATGTCAAGGCATCTAATCTGTATTATGCCAAAGGCATAAGTTTGGTCATTAATGAATGACCCAGAATTCTACAATTTTAAAAGGATCTACAAGAGATAAGTTCATGGTTTCCCTGTAATTGGTGATCTGCTAATTGAGGTTTCATACATGTGGGACATCTGTAGGGAGATGGCATCCTACACACTTAAGAGATTAATGAGCACCTTACCCTCCCATATTAGCATAGGCATTACTGGTAGATTCAGGGAAAGGTGATAAAACCACATGGAGAGGAGGAAAAATATCACGGAAGGAGGTTATATAAAGAAAAATGTGTAGTTAAAAAATACTTGGCATAGAAGAACCTGGGTTAGAGATTGGCATAAAGGGTGATTGGAATGGAAGGAAGGTTAAGGACAAAATGATAGACAATGGAACCAAGGCAAGGTTGGCATACAGTAAATAAAGACCAACAGGTTAACATGAAAATATTTGTTTATGGTGGCCTGGAGTGCATACCGGTGGCCAACATGTATACACTTGCCCAGGTTATTAGCATAATTCATTACAAAAGAAGATGAGCCTATAAAATAAACACTACAATCAAATGTACCAATTATTTTATATATATATTTGGGAGTCTAGCCAACTCCTTGGTTTTGCACCCCTCCCTGTCACAGGTGCCTCATCCCAGAGCCCTATTTAGCCTTGTACTGCAGAGAGCCCCAGATGGAATTTTTTTCCTCAAGTAAGTGGTTAATCTCATAAGAGCAGACATTAGGCTGTTAGTGTAGGACCTGCCAAAGATGGGGTACATTGACGTTGTGGCAGGCTTATGCAATGTATGATCATATAATGTAACTAAACCCCCATTATTTTTGCCTAGATTAGGTGTTTTTAAAAAAACTAATAAAATCTTTCAACATTGAAGTTGCCGTTTAGTGGATAGGTGAGTGCGCTGGATCTTGTGTATTGTATTATTTGGCCCCCAGCAGCACCCCCATTTATGCATGTTCAGGTGAGTGCAGCCCCCTTGTGTTATATATATATATATATATATATATATATATATATATATATATATATATATATATATATATATATATATATATATACACACACACACACACACACACACACACACACACACACACACACACACACACACACACACACACACACACACACACACACACACACACACACACACACTTCCTTTGTAATAGTAATCCCCTTTACATACATACTGTGTTTGCCTTTCCTGAACAACACTCTTCACTATCTGTCTGTACATGATTGGTGTTTAAACCTGCTTTGCTACATAAACCTCCCCAACTGTATTGCTCATTAAAATAAATAAATAAATTAAAAAAAGTTGGGAACAGCTGACCTTTTTGCAGTCTTATATAGGTTACATGTATTCAACAGCTCAGAACCCATACTAAAAGAAAACATTTTAACTGCTTTTCAGAAATGAAATCTGTTAAAGTATTCCAGTTGGCATGGCATGATGAACTTCTCTTCCCTTGGGCCCAATGCAATCCAACTCGCTTATCAGCAACAGCCACCTTCAGTAAACAACCAGGCATAGCCAGTCTTTTACTCACGCCATGTCTGTCAGACGAAACTCAACTGCAAACAGGATGGCATACAAGCATTGCAATGAATCAAGTCTCAATAACCCCTTTGTAGAAGAGCCTGAAGTCCAAAGTCTTTGCAAAGTAGAACAGTATAAAGACAACTCTTAGATTTAATAAACCAGGAAAACAAAGAAAAGATAAAAAAATTTGTCCCAAGAAAGTGGTATGGTGGGGGAACCACAAACAAAATAAAATAAAAAGATGTGTGTTCTATGATAAACAACACTTAACAGCACACTGCAAAAAGGAGGGAGGATTGACAGCACATCAAGGAGACGGGAGAGAAATCCAAAAATTGTATGCTTGTCATTCGATAATGAAGGCGAGCAGTACTTGGGTTCTGTTGCTCCAATTAGAAAACAGTTCTTAATCTTTTGCCAAACCAAAACTAAAAAACCCTTTAGCGTATTCTATGTTGCTGCTCAGGCAGGAAACCGATTGGATGAAAATTGTAATTTACACGGAATCATGCTTACCCTCAGTGTGCAAATCCTGCTCTGGCAACAGTTGCCAAAAAAGAGGTGATATTATCCTAAAAGACTATTTCTGGTCAGAGAAGTGGAAAAATAAACAAAATTGGTCACAGGATTGATTACAGGATATACTTTGTGACTTCTGCCTCATTAAGAATATGCAAGCAGTATTCAGACTGCTTTGCAGACACAACCAATGACAAATTGCTGGTTTGAATTTCTGACAGGTGGAATCATTAAAGGCCCGAGCGCTCAGGCTCAGATCACACAACACTCTCCGGCAGCCTAAACACTTGCAAACAAACACTACATCAATTAATGAAACCGATATTTATATTGCAGCAGCTAAAATGCATCATTGTTCATAGATTGTTAATCAGTAATTGGATGGACAAGAGTAAACACACACCCTTTAAGTACACTGTCAATGGCAATACAAGATCAGGGATAACTACAAAGATATGGTGAGAAGATAAAGTGGTTAACTCTGGTTGCAGAGCAATCCACGATATCCAATCTCCAGGGGGACTGGTTACAGATCAAAGCCAACACAATATACCGTGTGTGGTCTACTCCTTAGACTATTTTTGTTGAGCTTAGCCGGTTAACTTCAATAACAGTCACCCCTATCAAACCTAAGTTTGCATCCATACTACTGTTCCTCTCTCCCCCCCAAGAGGAGGAATCTAGGGACCTCCATCTAGGGATATATCCCTGCTTTATACCATTCATTTTAATATTTATCCTCCCCTAGTGTACAAACAAACACACTTGTAACCTTTTTTCTCCCTGTTTTTAAACTAGTATCAATAAAGGTAGGGTTTTTACCTTGTTACTACTTTCCCTCTGTCATCACCTCTCCTTTTTCCCCGCTGTGCTCCCTCTCATTGAGTCCCCTAACTCATTGGGGAACCCATGGGGATTTTTTTGTTAATTGCTGCAAGATCAGAGATAGCCAACATAGGTTCACTTTTATTGGACAATAACTCCCAAGGTTCTTGCAGTCTGTCAAGCAAAAGCTAAAAAAAATAAAAATAAAAAATTAGCTAGAGAGCTAAATGCATGGGATCTACATTTATAAATCATGGACACGCCACATCCAAAGTTATAGCTACAGAGTACACAACTAAACTCAGGGTACATTTGTTACCACAATACCCTGAAAAGACTTTTACAATGCACCAGAGGCAGGAATAGTGGAAGTATAAAATCACATCTTTACTGCAACAGAGGAGACGCAGTCAAAACATCCGAGCCAATACACATTAAGATTTTGAATATATACAGATCAGTAAAAGAATTCTAGATAAAAACATTTTTTTTTTAGAAACAGCCAGAAAGGAATTTTATCTTGACAGGTTTAGCATACGCCTTTCTTTGTCTAATCTAACTGGAAAATAGACTTCTAATTGGGAGTAGAACCAGTGGCGTCTCTAGGATTCATTTTTAGGGGGGGCACATGGTGGGCCAGGGACAAAAGTAGGGGGGCACATTTAACCCCGCCCCTGCCGCATGTTAAGACCCGCCCCCGACAGTTTTTTTTTTGTTTTTTTTTTAAATAATCCCTGGTGGAGTATTCATTATTTTCCACCAGGGATTATTAAAAAACACATTTCCAAGAGCTCCAGCACTAATGAGCAAAAATAGGCAATTTATGATTGAATCGACACCCAAAGAAGGTCGGGCTGACCGGAGGACGAAGCAGAAACAAGCAGGGACCAGAGGGAAACCCGTCCCTTATAAATACGCCAAGATACCGCTCTGTCCGACCATGCGGCCTAGCCCTGAGTAGGGCCATGTGTCTGGGGGAGGCAGCCGTCCCTCGACACAGAACAAGCACCCAACGGCAGGCTCACAACAGCCCTGTCACCCCCCCCCCCCGGACCGGTGGGGGGTTATCCCGGTCCCCGCTAGGGTCACTTACTGCCACACAGCCGACTGAATCCATACAGCCACAGAAAGCACCAAAGTCAGCAGCCACAGTCTCACCCACGCGACCCTGGGAGAGCACAGAGAGTCCCACTAACTGCCTCACTGAGCAAGCAGACTTCTCCGCAAGGCTGGACGTGATATTCAACGAGTTTTGGAGAAAACTGGCCCGGGGGCGTCAAGGGCAGCCAGCAAAACCTAAGCAAGACGACAGCCTACCTCAAAGTCCACGAGGTACACGCAAAATGGCCGCTGCGTCTGGCCTCCGGCTCCCTCACAGCCATCCTCACCGCTCAACTCCCCGTGTCAAACAGCGGACTGTAGCAGGGATCGCCTGGTCCCAATCTGGACTGGGAAGCCACAAAAGAAAGCACCCTACCCACCGCCCATACACCCAAAAGGTCATCCGGGCACCGGTGCTCCCAAGGGCCCACGATCCTACCGCACATCGCGGGGGGACCCATAGACACAAGGGAATGACTCCCGTCTCAGCCTGGGATGGGAAAGCGAAGCGGCCGCAGCTCTATCACCATGGAACCACTCGACGCCAGCGGCTACACCAATCCAAGCGGAGCACCAAGACGGCAGGAGGACTAAACCGGTACCATCACTACCATCGACGGGGATCGGCTGATCCTGACATTGGACTCAAAGTTAGACCTCAGTGCCACCTGCCATGGACACTATGAGCTAGGATATGTACACTGAGGGCCCATCTCCTTCACACTCACACCTGATCTTATCACCTAGCTTACCGCAGCCTTAATGTTTATATGCCAGTCAAGTTGTTCCAGCATGCCAGTCGATGCTCTTACCGGTATAATGTAATGAATCGTATGCCCTGTTGTGAGAATGTTTTGCCTCTTAGTTAACAAGCCAGAATGACCCAGATATGGAGGTTGTCTAATTTCTAGCTCACAAGGCACACATTAATATAACACCAATGTAAAATCTGCCGTACCCTCACGAATGACACCAAGCGGCCACTAAGCTACAGCATTAATAATTATAGTTTAGCAAATTACGAGACTTCTTCCTTGACAGTGTTATTGTCAGCCTACTCAATATGTTTAAATTGTGTTAACGGTCATCTCATTATCTGACAAAACTTGAATCTGCTTGTTTATTACTCTCAAAAAATGTGCTTTTATTTTTCTTATTTGCCACAGGACTATGACTCCTGAAATGCTCGTAACTATTGTTGTGTCGCAGAGCCTGTATGAAAATAACCGACAATTGAATAGCTACTATGCCCTAGCTTGAAATAACGGCCAGTAACGTGTATTTATACCTCTCAATGTGTGCATTGTAGAAAGGGGCAGTGTTTTACTTTGCTTCACTTTAGGTTACTTTGTCATTCTTAACCTGGCACACTACACTTGGGCCACACATCTGTTCCCCCAAACGCACCCAGCTTGGTCTTAAGCACGATTAGTTAGGCATGTAGTAATAAACTACCGCCCTGCCACATTTATAACACACAAGCATTGCTCCTCCTGACATAGAACTGTTATAATACACTCAATGTTTTGCTTATGGTCATCTACTTTATTATAAATACGCTACTCTTGTTAGTAATCTTATTGAATGCTTAAATAATATAAAATGAGGCAGTCCCTCATAACACCCAGCATCATTATCTTCATTTTATCTAATCGAATCTTACACGGTCATATCAACTGTTTAGTTAAGCATGTTAAATATAAAAATTGTGCAAATTATCATGCCACTGTCTACCTTGTATGAAACTTGAAATACGCTGTTGTGGCGTTTGTTGATATATTGTGACCATCTGCACATCAAAAATAAAGAATTAAAAAAACAAAAAAACAAAAAAAAACAAACACATTTCCCTTGATACACAGTGCCATAGTTGCCAACATTAGAAAAAAATTCCAAGGATATTTTGCAGCACAGCTATCAATTACTGTCTGTGTATAATATCCCTGGACAGTCAGTGCTCCCTGTATAGTGCTGCTCTCTGTATAATACAGGTCTGTTTGTGTATAATATCCTAAAACAGAGAGCAGCACTATACAGGGAACACTGACTGTTCCAGGATATTATACAGACACAGACCTGTATTATACAAAGAGCAGCACTATACAGGAAGCACTGACTATCCCGGGATATTATACACACAGAGATCTGTATTATACAGAGAACAGCACTATAGTATTATACAGATAGCTGAGCATATACCCCATGTCCCAATCTCTAGACTACTAGTACCTGTCAACAGCAGCTCACGCGTCTGGGACAGGGCTAAAGTGTGCGGCAGCTCACACAGATGATTCAGCGGTAAAGCGCACTCGCTGGCAGAGCCAAACTGGGAATCCAAAGCAGCCCTGGAAAAAAATGTATGCCATTCCTACAAATCAATAAATAAATATATAATAAAATATATATATTGTACAGTGAGCACACAAGCTCACTGACATGCGCAAATAGGCTCACTGACAGACAAAAAACTCTGGCTCACACACAAGCTTACTACAGAAAAACTCACTTGTATAAATACAAGGCTCACTACAAAGAAGTTCAGGGACACACACAAGCTCACTAAAGACAAGCTCACTGACACACACAAGCAATACCATCTTAACAGTGTTAAGGGCCCCGGGCAAAGCAGTGCACTGGGGCCCTTCCTACACAACAACTCACAGGAATAAAAATTGTAATTATTGATAGACTGCTGAGTACATACACATCGTACACTGAATACGAACACCGAGAGACTGCTGAATACACACACAGATTTCTGAATGCACACAGGCTGATTTATACACTTACACACAGACTGCTGAGTCCACACACACACACACACACTGCTGAGTTCAAACACACACACACACACACAAGCTTCCTCACTGGCAGAGACACACAAGCATATTAAACCTACCTGTCACTGGAGGCTGTTGCTGGGGGTCAGACAGCCATCTTCTATCCTTTCTAGCAGCAGCATGCTTGGCTGCTTAACGGCGGGGCAGGGCTTATGTGCGGGAGGCGGGGCTTTGTTTGGGGGCAGGGCCTGTGCCGGGGAGCCTGTCAGTGCTCCCTCCAGCCACAGACAGCCCCCAGCACCTCAGTCCTGCATTCCCTCGGGCTGTAACAGGCTGTTACAGTCCGAGGGAATTGAATGTAAGAACATGGCCAGCAAGTTGCTGGCATTTGGGGGGGGGGACCAAGGGGGGGCACAGCATGATGTAGTGGGGGGCCATAGCCCCCTTTGCCCCCCCCAGCGACGGCACTGCGTAGGACAACTCCTCACACCACAGGCTGACCTTGAGAACCTTAGTTACAAGCTGTGAAAGTTTTGTTACAAAACTAAACACTTATACTGCTGAGCACACACCTTTTACCTACCGTATATACTCAAATATAAGTCGACCCGAATATAAGCCGAGGCCCCTAATTTTACCACAAAAAAAAATAATGGGAAAACTTATTGACTCAAGTATAAGCCTAGGGTGGGAAATGCAGCAGCTACTGGTAAATTTCTAAATAAAATTAGATTCCAATAAAATTACATTAATTTAATATTTATTTACAGTGTATGTATACAATGAATGCAGTGTGTGTGTGTATATATATAGAATGCAGTGTGTGTAAACTGGGTGGGGGGATGGCATTATTACTTAAATATTTTTATTATTTTAATATATTTATTATTTTCTTATTGAATTGTTTAATTTATTTTTTTAGCCCCCCTCCCTGCTTGTTACCGGGCCATAATCCCTGGTGGTCCAAATTAGGATATATTCCAAAACCAAAGAGCAACATATGATGCCCTATTACTAAACAAATTGAGAGCTCAACTCACCTCCCCACTCTGTGTATCAAAGATATATAATGAGCCATCACTAGTGCCTACCACGGCCATTCTACCCTTTGCGCCCAACACAGCACAACTGGGAGAAGAAGGGACCTCCAATGATTTGCTGTGGGAATAAAATAATGTGGACATGGGCTGTGCAGGGGCCGAGCAAGCTCTTACTTACCTTTGTAGCAGCTCCGGTCAGCTCTGTTCAGCTCCCCCCGTTCAGCTCACAGTGTAAGTCTCGCGGTCTGCGTGGTAACCCGTGGCAACACTCTGACGGCCGCGGGTGTCGCGAGACTTACCTTTGTAGCAGCTCTGTTCAGCTCACAGTGTAAGTAAGAGCTTGCTCCAGCCCCCAACAGGACCGCCGGGCTTGTAATGAGCCCGGCGGTCCTGGTCTGTCTTATGGCAATGTAAGTTGCCATAATACAGACCTTGACTCGAGTATAAGCCGAGTGGGGCTTTTTCAGCACAAAAAATGTGCCGAAAAACTCTGCTTATACTAGAGTATATACGGTATTAACCCTTCTATTACCAGACAGCAAGCTTATCCAATCTATCAAAAACTGCAAAATACAAACTTGATAATGTGCAATAAATATAAAATACCGAATAATGTACTACCAAAAGACAGAATTTGCCTCTCACAATTCCAAGTGTATATTAGAGAAAAGTGTCTTTGGTGCAAAATCAAGTAAATGTGCAAATATAACACGTGTTCACACGCCGATTGGTTTTATCCCAAAGTGATCATATCTTAAAGGTAAACATATTTTTGTTTGTACTTGCACTTTAGAGCATTAACACGTATTATATTTGCAGATTGACTTGATTTTGCTCCAAAGTCTATTCTTTGAAAATATATATATTTTTTTTTTTTCCACACAATATTTGCCACACATTGGAAAAACATTAGCTTAATTAAGCAAGTTCACAATGACACATTAGTCCTAGCCAAAGGGGAATTTACATAGATTTTAACACTGATTTAGCTTCAAAACTACCTTCCTGTATCCTGCTGCTTCTCTCCAATACTGAAAGCTGGGATTGCCAATAGTTGTGGAACACGTGGAGACATGAGAATAATAGCCAACGTATTTATCTGACAATTAAAAACTGAGGAGTTAAGTGCAGCAACCATACATTGCTAACACTTGGTTATACACTGCAAACGTCAGCTGATAGTTAAGGGGACATTCCACTGCCCAAATACAAATCACTATTTAGTAGATATACCACAAATGAAAACTTGCATGCATTTAATTATATATCTTTTCATTGGGAATAGATCCAAAACCAGCTTGCAAAACCTGCAGTTCTCGTCTGCTGCCTTTGCAAGCTCTCCCCTTCGAAACCCGCCCAGACTTTCTGTGGTTGTCCAATCACAGACTTCCCAATGCAGCTCAATGAGAAGTCTTTGTAAGTCAGGTGCTCTGGACAATTGTTGCCTCTTGAGATCAGCTGCATTGAGCCAACAAAACCAGGAAATAACAGGACCTGTTGTCTGCTTGAAATTTAAGGGGGTGGCAAGGTTAATTTAGAAAAGTGTAAATTTCTATTGAAATCTGCACTTTTTGCAAAATGATAAAAAGAGGACACACTCTTCAAGCAAAAGTTGGTTTAGGGGTCTGGGTTGACCATTTAAGCACCTGCTTTTTTCATTGGCACCCAATTCCTACCAGACCAAACAGATCCTACAATGTTTGTTAAAATATAAACTCTTACAGTTTCGCTGATTATTCAAAATCTGAATTTGCTCATTATAATGAACCACAGAAACAGCAGTTGCCATCTACATAAAGCACAATACTCTTATTTTCCTCCATGTCAGAGCCATACTGAACAGATAATGTCTATTTAGTCCCATACAACCTCAGACAGAGCATCTTGGAGTTCATATAATCTGGGATGGCAGGCATCACTAAGCCCAACCATGAACCAAAGCAATATTTTCAATACAGGTGTGAGTACAATCCTGGGGCATTGGGACTTTATTCCCTTTAATATAAATAGAACACACAACAACCACCTATTGTCACTGAATTTGTATGTGCCGTATTTTTAAACACTGTAGACTTAGGACTCTAGGGTGGGGTACCCAAAATCATGTGAATTAGTCCACAGGACCTGAAACCCATATCCCCAACCCTATTTCACCAAATACGACTCCCAACCCTATATATCCTTAAGCTAAACCTGGCAACCTCACTTTCAAATTCTTTTTTTCCTGGTGGTTGAATGATAATGCAGCTATACGAAAGCAGCATCATTGCAGTCATCCAATTTAAGAGACATTGAAAATTGTGCCTTTTAAATGGTGATATTCTAAAATTGTTTACATTGAGACATAGCCCTCAGAAGATACTGCCTTTATGATTTTAATTATTTGAAATAGTTCCTGGGAACATGCAGTATTAGTGTACGTTATTCATATAGTGGAATGTTGGGAATCTTACAGGAATTTGATAGCTATATGTAAAAAGAACTTTAGGTTTTATTTGCATGAACATACTCAACACAGCGAGATAAGACAAATACTAAAAGGTTCACTTGATATCGGAGAAGTACAACATTAAAAAAAAAAACACACACATAAAACAATCTGATTTAAAAAAAAAAAAAAAAAATTTAAATTAAATAATAACCTTTACAAATGACTTTGAAAACATTGCATAATTTTCAGTAAATAATTAATTTGTGCAACCATAACAGAAAATCACCTTACCCCAATAAATATCCACCTATTCTACACAAATGTAGTATATCTTTGTGGTAAATATATTAAAACCTGTTTTATGCAAGTCAGTTGTCATTAACACAATTCCTGGCGTAGAAAACAGACTCTTTAGCTAGAACAGCAAATGGAGAGAACCTACCTTGATTGTTTCTACCTTCCTTTGCCTTCTTCCTTGGATATCTATTAAAATGAGACTCTAATGAAGACCGTACATTACGCTCTATTTAAGTCAGACATGCTACCGAAGCCTGGGGATGAATTTAATAAACAAAGGCAGCTTTAATAATTCAGGCTCTCACATACAACAGCCGATGCGCCTGTCAGAAGCACTCTGTGGAGAGGGGGGAGATTTCCACAGCCTCTCACAGGCTTTGCATGTTTTAAAAGGACATCGCTGGCTCCTGAACGCTCGATGTGTACCGCTCATTACCAGCATCAGACACAGCCAACCATGAACAAAAGTTTCAGAACATTGGTATTCATGTTGGTATTAAATACACTTAAAATCTCACTCTCACTGGATGTCTGAGACTGCACATCTTGTCACGCAAAGGGTTACACAAATTATCAATAGGGCGCTCCACTCCAGCCAAATTATGCAAATAATTCAGAAGCTTTGCCGTGCAAAGTTTGTGCAGGGGTCTTCTTACAAGGCAGAGATCACATGTGATTTCACTAAACTTCGAATTGTAGTTAATTAAAAGCTAGATGGCAAAATTAAGGCAATGATAGCCGATTTTAAAATACTCTATTGTCACAACTTGGTTTTGTAGCTATAGTGTGTGTTGTCACTAAATAGTATATTATAGTAAATTTAAAACGACAAACTATAGCTACAAAACCAAGTTATGACAATAGAATATCTAAAAATCAGCTATCATTGCCTTAATTGAGATGGAGATAGAGATACAGAGATAGAGATCTAGAATATTTGACAACAAAGTACTTACCATACGGAATAGAACAGGGACAAAAGATAAAGAAGGCACTGCTCAAATGAGTTTACAATCTAGTAACCAAAACAAAAATAATATTTTATACATACATATTTAAAAAATGCATTACATACAATAGTTACATACCGGTATATGCCTATGGAAAATAAGTGCATAATTAATCATTTAGAGACAGGGAGGGGGAAAAAAACAAGAACCTCCAATGACCGTTCTAAAATATAAGACAGGGCTGGGAAATATGTTTGAGAATATGTTTGTCTGGTAGGTAATCTCACACCGTTTATTAATTAATCTTCATATTGTAGCAATTTGCAATCCTAATGGAAAGTTTATTTTACTTTCTTAAAATTTTTAATTTTTTTTAAATAGCAGATTACAATATATAAATAAATAAAAATAGGCCATCTCTGCTATCGTCACAGAATATCCATTTTAACCTCACTTTTGCCATTCCTATTTCATAGTTCTCTATATTTGGAATACGTATTAAAAGAATCAGTTATGATGGCAAGTGCCCTGCTGTATCCTGTTCATACAGATCTTACCAAATTTGCTTCAATATACCCCTCCTAACTAAGAGTTGCGGTGGATCCTTCTACAACAGAAGTCTAACAGTTTGCTAAGGAGCTGAAAGCTCGATGACAGGACATTTTATGCTAAGCAGGCAAGTAGTACAAGTCCAAGGGCCTGATAAATGAGGCTGTCTCACACCTAATAGATGCACATTCATTCTGGATATTTACATAATAGATACTATTGATGAGCATTCGAGAATAACCTTGCATCATTAGTAGTGCAGTGTCAGAGCTCTGCAATCAGAGATACCATTGTACCATCGCAACTAATGGCACATCCATAATGGCATGGCATGATAAACAGCAGTATATGTACTATTGGCCAAGGACAACATTGTCCTTGGAGACATGGCCTACAAGAGATTCTTGAATTCTGGGGAAGAACATTTGTTTAAAGGAAGATATTTTATTAAAGTGGATTAGATTTGACAATACAGCTGCAGCCACACAAAGCAAAAAGCGGAGTTAAATGTAATAAAACTAATCCATTACAAAACAGTACAACTATATGTGACAAACTGTGTTCAGTTGGCAACCTACCAGCATAATGCCATTTAAAAACTGCAAACAAAAAGAAAAAAAAAGGTATAAGCCATTTCATCTGAGCAAGATTTAGTTCAGGAACATTTATAAGCAACATCTGCAAGTTTGGCCCCATGATCTACTGTCCTCCACCTCCTCTTGCCAAAGTTATATACTGCTTTTATTTAAAGGGCCAGTTGGACAGATACTCTGACTGCATCAACTAGCACTTGATCCAGTGTCTGAATGTCACCACTGTATCCTTGCATAAGTGCAAGAGTATATAACAGAGGTCTATAGAAGATTGTATGGGAAAGTGCAAACAAAACTGCAAACAAAAAGAAAAAAAAGGTATAAGCCATTTCATCTGAGCAAGATTTAGTTCAGGAACATTTATAAGCAACATCTGCAAGTTTGGCCCCATGATCTACTGTCCTCCACCTCCTCTTGCCAAAGTTATATACTGCTTTTATTTAAAGGGCCAGTTGGACAGATACTCTGACTGCATCAACTAGCACTTGATCCAGTGTCTGAATGTCACCACTGTATCCTTGCATAAGTGCAAGAGTATATAACAGAGGTCTATAGAAGATTGTATGGGAAAGTGTAGGAAGATGCATTTTCTCATCAGCCATTATTCACGATGATGGCCAGGAAAGTGGCTGGCAATGCATTTAATATTATTATTATTGCTGGTATTTAAAGTGCCAACATATCCCAAAGAACTGCACAATAGAGGAAAAAGTAAAACATACACAGATCAGTACAAAAAAAAAAAAGGTCAAGGGAACCCTGATCCAGAGAGGTTTACAATTTGTGAAAACAGAACATTGCTAGTTCTACAGAATATAAAAAAAAAACAAAAAAAAAAACAATGAACACATTGATACAAAAGGAATAGAGGGCCCTACCCACGAGTTCACATTTTTGTAACTGCGGTACTTTTATTAAAATTTTACCATCAAAAAGTAATAACGTGGAGTTGAGATTTGAAGTTACAAGGGGTTGTTTGAAGTGGATGGCCAGAAATCCGAAGACGTGTAAATACGGAGTAGCTTGTGAGGCAGTTTAAACAGTTATCCTACAGCACAAAAACATTACTATTTAAAAGTTTCTTTAGGCTAATAGAAAGGAAGGTTTGAATGGTTTTATTAACAAACTGATTGTATTTAGCTACAACTTTCACTTTACAAAATCAAACAAGGAGTAACATCAAAAATTAACAATTGCCAACAAAAGAGCAGTATTTAAGGCAGTGGTAGTCAACCTTTTTCTTCCTACCACCCACTAATGCATCTTTCTTAATGGAAAAATGTCCTTATCGCCCACCAGTTTTCGAGCAAGTGCAGAATATTTTTTAGAAAGGAGGGAGTTTAAAAAAAAAAAAAAAAAAAAAATGTACGTACATTTATCTTTTTATTTCTACTTAATGCATGTTTATAATGTTTTTAACTTTATAAAGTTTAATGAGAAAACAATAAAGTAAATTGAAATTACCTTTACTAGCGATTAATGAGAACCTTGAGGCTGATGCTGCAAGACTAAATATTTGATATCTGGTTCGGTTTTCATAAGGAACAAATGAAGGTCTCCTCTTTCGGTGATATTCAGACGACTTGTCTGTTTGCTCATAATATGATTTCTCATTTGTGCGTCAGCTCCCCTCCTCTTCCTCCTCAATTCCCCTCCCCACCTTTTTTTTCTTCCTTTTTTCTATTTTTTAACCTTACTTATAGCAATGCCCAGTAGGAAGGCTGAGCTAGGTAGCCCACTATAACAGACAGGCACACATACAAGACATACACACACATACAAACAGACAGGCACACACATACATACAGACAAACAGGCACACACACCACATAAGACATACATACAAAGACACACATACAAAGACAAGACACACATATACGACATGCATACAAAGACACATACATAAGACACACATACACACAAAGACACACGCACAACATACATACGAAGACACACACACGCACAACATACATACGAAGACACACACACAAACAAACACATTATATTTAAGTCACCCTCCTGTTTCCTACCTTTAAAGTGCAGGAGGGTGACTTTCTCTGGGGTCCAGTGGTGGCTCAGGTGGATGGGAGTCAGAGCTCCCACTCTGACTCCCTGGTCTTCCTCCCGTGCAGCTCTCAGTGTTAGCTGGGAGGAGTGACGTGCAGTCACTTCCTCCCAGCGTGTGATGTAATCACAGGGGGCCCAGTCATGCTGTTAAAGCGCCCAGCACTGACCGGGCCCCCTCACAATCCACACCCATTGGGTGGCCCTGACAGCATGGGCCACCCGATGGACCCCTTGGACGGCGGCCCTGGCGGTTTGACGCCCGGGCCGCAAATGGTAATGGCGGTACCCAGTCGCAGGGGTACCGCCGGCTCGCACCCGCCCACCCACCCAATCTCTCCAAATGAGGAAATCCCTACCGCCCACCTGGAATCCTGAAACGCCCACTAGTATGTGGTAGGGACCAGTTTGACGACCCATGATTTAAAGGTTAAGGTGTCCCAGGTGCCATGGTCCTGTCAATTTAAACCATGAAGGTAAAACACTGCCATTTTGCAAAAATGGCAAGGTTTACCTTAAAGGATTCAATACACCTCCAGGGGCAGTTACACTGACAACCACTGGAGGCGCTTCCGCTGCACTGATAGCATAAGGTGACATGGAAAGCACTGATTTAATGCTTTCCTATGGGGAAGCTTGGAAGCACATGTGGCACTCACCATGCATGCACATCATGTTCCCAATGCTCCTCTATCAGGTTTTGGACAGGTCGCTGCCATAAGGCCGTCAGAGGGGTGAGGTAAGTAGCGTCAAGGGTCTTATTTTTATGACACAGGGGGTGGGTTGGGGACCTATATAATTAGGGACAGGCACACTAAAGCGTTTAGAATACAGGCTTGTATTCATAAAATTATTTTCACACAAAATATTAATTATTCAAACCAAATATATAGGATATGTGATTTCAAAAATGATGGATGATTGAACAAGATTCAAAAAGCATTAGGCATTTTTTCTCTCCTGTTCAGGGGAGGGACTGTCATGATCACACTCAGCATGTCGTGAATTTCCCAAAAATATATGTTCTTGCACATATGGGAGACATTTTACCTTGACCGAATAAGCCAGAAATTGTGGCTTTCTAAAAATTGTTTGCTTGTTTTTTTTTAAATAGAATTAAAAAGTCCTTTACTCTCCCTATCTATTTTGCCTTTATGGTAAAGATTTTATGATGCAAGTCACCCCAGGTGAAGCAGTAATTGAAGGTTAGAACTTTACCAGTTCCCAAGGGGGTATGATAAATAATCAGTTAGATTTAACAGTGTGCATCTGGTTACCAGTACCAGATTTAATATGTGTTATAGAAGATGAAGAATTTTGCTCTATAAACTAAAGTGGAAACATTTAGGTTTGCAGTTGCAGAGCTGTGAGAAGCAGAGAATAGCAGGACATTGGGGCTACAGGATTTGGAGACAGCACATGAACATGACATACCCAATGCAATATTTGAAGAGCAAGGAAGAGGGTTGTTGGTTAAAGTAAGACAATAAAATGAACAGGATAGAAAATAAACAGATTTGCAGTAGTTAAACAGCACTATTAAAAGATTTTAAAAAAAAAAAAAAAAATACAAATATACATAGAAAATGTGTCCAAATACAGGAAAGTATTCACTTTTAAAAGGTTGAGAAATCTTTGTGGAACAGAGGGGAGAGTAAAATACAGGATAGGGAGGGTTTGAGATTTGGAGTGAGCAGATTAGCAAATGAGCATTATACACCTTAGGAGAGAGTTATACTCAGGGTTAACAGTATAAAAAAAACATTAAATGAGATGGAACGCTCTCTCAACACCTGCACAATAAAATATAAAATTTTTTTTTAAAGATCTGGCTAGTTTTATAATATAACAGTCCCATGTATTATTAAAAGGTAAAAACAAACAACTCGTTACTTAGTCCTAGAAACATGTGTCAATATTTGGATTATGATTATAGAGCATATTAAACCTTTTTGCAATATTAAAAGCACAGTTTGTTCTAAAAAACTGAAATGTACACAAAACGTCCATTCAGTGCCAGCATCTTTCATTCTACTTTGAACCACCCCAATCTAACTAGTTCAGATATTAAAGGGTGTCTACACATAAAATGCCAATATTTAGGATACAATTTAAGCAAATCTTAAATAAGCATCTCTGGGTATAAAACACCCCACACATGCAGCCTTGGGAGGAGAAATGAGCTAGAAGACATGACCTAAAGAGAGTTAGCTGTCAAGGCAGTCTGGTATCAGGCTGTGAAGCCAAAACACACACACAGGTTTACCTGTCCATATCCTGGCCCCCGAGATTCCCAAGTAAACCGACTGCAGTACTCAAAGACCACACAGACAGGACCGCAGAATTCATAGACTGCTTCCTGACCCCACCCACCCAAAATACTGCAACAAGATGTAAGACCAAAAGCTATAATTCCTATGTGATAATTATGCACCAGTATTGATCCGGCTTTTAATTAGCACTAACTGAGAGCAAAATGCATTTAGCAGACAAGTTTGAGAAGATGAGGCCTTATCTACCGACTCTTCCATTAATTAAAGTATGTTTTGTCTCACCAAAGGGATGGAAGGATTCATCCAACTTCACCGCTTTTAAAAGTTGCTTACAAAATGTATTAAATAATAAAACAGTGTGTGTAGAAATAAACATATACAAACTATCAACGCACATCATGATTTAAATATTGGATATTAAAGGGTTACTGCAAGCATCATAACTACTACAACTCTCTGTTGAGGGTATGATGCCAGGAGAGCCCAGGCCCAGATTTCCCAGTAATGGAGCAAACTGGATAACAACAGTTTGCCCCCATACCTGGGTCTTTTCAGGACTTCAATGCTCCCTGTAAAGCTGTTGAAGCCGCAAGGGTCGACATTCAATGGCTGAGCATGTCAGCTGACCGCTCTGAGCCAATGATTGTCATTCTGTGCAATGAAAGCCTGCATAAATTGACGTTACACGGCTCGGAACTTTAATTCCAGACAGGCTGAGGACACACCCCTATAATGCATGAAATAGAGTAACACCTCCGGCAGAAGAGGAGTTATTCTCCTCACCATGATCATTTCAAATCTAAAGTAGTCATGGTGCTTAGAGTAAATGTAAAACTTTAAATTAAAGAAAAAAAAAAACACATTAATTTGCTATACATTTACAGCTCTGTACAATTAGTATGTTTCTACATTAACCCCTTATGGACACAGCTTCTGAAATAAAAGGGAATCATGACGGAATATTTCCGTCATGTGTCCTTAAGGGGTTAATATTGAAGCGATTCATCAAATGTGCAGAGGAATCAATGACAGAAAAAAAATTACTCAATACATTAGAATACACTGTCCAAGTTCCTCAATTCTACAATTTCATTTCTAGTTTTAACAAGAATATATTCCTTAATAACAGTAGTTTCAAGTGCAGGGAAAAAAACTGGCATCTTGCAGATCAAAAAGAAAGCTCTTGACTACTTACATTGGGAAGGCGCCAGGCCACTCCTGACACCATAACCACTATAGCATGTTGTAGTAATTACGTGCTTGGAGTGTACCTTTAAGCGAATGGTGTGAATTTATATGTAATGTTACCCCTAGGTAAACAGTTTTCATACAGAACAATGATTAATTAGAAATCTCAGTGTAAAATACAAAGACCGTGTATGCTCTGGTCAATAGAGGCTCAATATCACATAACCTTCAATTGGAAATAATGAGGGTGTACTATTGAGTGCATCAGAGATATGTGCAGGAAGTGTGCCCAGTGGAATATATTGTGCTCCCTGTCCATCTACATGAATATTACAGTTATTGTGCGTTAGTACATTATCTGGCTTCAGGATACCAGTAGAGATGCAAGTTGATATTTTGTGTCCAATGATTAACAATGAAAAATTATCTTAACAAAAAAAATTATTGATTTTGAAGAAACAGTCTTAAGTCCCAATCATTTCATCTTGAAGTAATTTTAGGGAACAGATGCAAACATTGCAGATTCTGAGAAACAGCACGGTTTGAGTTTATTTTTTTGCAATTCCTACACCTCCGACAGTCACTCTGACAACCACTAGAGGCCTCAGACAAAAAGATTCAATAACTGAATCTACCTTACGTCTGGCGTCAACAGGCAAAGTATGGCCAAAATGTTTTAAGAGAAGCATTAGATTATTGAATTGTGGCAATAGCTGTGCATGTGCAGTATGTCCTTTTGTCTCACTGGACAAAAGTCATCAAGCTTAATGAATCTGCAGTAGGATGATCAGGCTGCAGTGAGGAGCTGGAATTAAAGGGACACTGTAGTCACTATAATCATTTCATCTCTTACATATCAGAGTTCACACTATACAACATGGAGAAAAAATAAAGAAAAATTAAATTATTTTAAATTATAAAAAAAAAAATTTTTTTTTTAATAAAAAGCCTTAAAAGAGGGCAAAGCCTAAAGAGGGCAATCCAAAACTTGGAAAAAAAATTATTAGGTTGGACAAAACCAAAAACATATGAGAGCAAGGTTAACCAAGGGTTCGTTCAACTAAATAGTCCCATTTGCTATATGCCCAACATAGACTGCGGTTTTGAGTACCCAGGCATGTTCTTCTGTGGTTGATTTACTGCAAACCAAAAAAAAGTTATTTGATGATGGGGAGATCTGGAACCACTAGAAATGCAGATGGTCAAAATGTGTGCTGGTAAACCAAGACATTGGATGCCAGTAACACTGCCGAAAGTCATGTAGATTTACTGTAATAAACACAATTCCAGAAGGATGAGATTCAAAAGAGACAATGTAAGGCCAAAGATACAGATAATGCCTGAAAGAGTCGAACGGTCTCTCCTTTGACTAAGCTAAAGCTCGGGTATTTTATTTGAGGGTCACGAGCCTGTATGTACCATTAGAAGGTATCATTCATGTCAAGATGACAAAGCCGATCATATATGACTGGCTGCTTCCTTCTGCACAGTGACCTGGAAGAGTCAGGAGCACGACTTCTGATGGATTCTCCAACTCCACTAAATAAATGACCAGAGAACCGAGAAACCTCATCGAACTTTGCACAGTGGTTATTGTGCAAAGACTCCTGCTTCATTCTGAAGATGAAGTTACTTGTGTAGGGCCTCCTCTGTGGGCTGTCAACCAGTCGTCGAGTACACTCTACTTGCTGACAATTTTTTTAAATTTTTTTTTTTTTGTGAAATTTTTTTTTATTTTAAATCATTACCTGCTAACCTCAGACAAACTGTGTCACACATCCAGCAGTAGCTCAGTGCTAGCAAAATAGATTTACGAAGCCATGAAAGAAGCGGTCTGCCCTACTTGACTATAACGCCTATTTCATTCAGTGAGATTCTATCAGAGAATGGTGACATTTAAAATATACATCTGATGTAATGTTGGAGCAACCACTTGATAAATAGCTTATGAAAAATAAGTCCCAGCAAACTCATTCAGTGTTTGACAGAGTTGGACAAGAAGTTTAGTCTTTAATAATTTTGTACAACCATGGGCACCATTTTAAAGGGACACTATAGTCACCAAAAAAAAAAAAAAAAACTTTTAGTTTAACTAAGCCGTTTTGGTGTACAAATCAAGTCTCACTGCTCAATTCTCTACCATTTATGAATCCTTTGTTTATGAACCCTAGTCACACCTCCCTGCATGTGATTTGCACAGCCTTCCTAAACACTTCCTGTAAAGAGTCATCTAAAGTTTATCCTTCCCTTATTGCAAGTTCTGTTTAATTTAGATTTTCTTATCCCCCCCTGCAAGAGCCTCCTGTATGTGATTAAAGGTTAAATTTACAGAGAAAGAGATACAATTGTTTAAGGTAAATTACAACTGATTGAAAGTGAAACCAGTTTATTTCATGCAGGCTGTGTCAATCAGAGCCAGGGGAGGCATGACAAGGGCTGCATAAACAGAAATAAGGTGATTTAAAGGATCACTAATCACAATTGGGTCAGGAACACAAACATTTATTCCTGACCCTATAGTGCCAAACCCCCCATATAGGTGGCTTGCCCCCTATAAAAGTTTAAAACTCACCGTATTGTCAGCGCCGTGCCAGTCCGCCCTCTTTGTGACAATCAAAATGACTGATTTTTCCAATCCAATGCTTTCCCAAGGGGAAAGCATTGGATTGGCTAAAATCGGAATGGGGCGGGGCCAAATGCCATTTTGGCCAATCAGGTGCTCCTCATTGAAGAGATTCATTGAATTAATGCATCTCTGTGAGGAAAATTCAGCATCTCCATGCAGAGCGTGGGGACGCTGAACGGCAGGGCTGCTTACTGTGCAACACTGAGCCAGGAAACCCCTCCAATGGCCATCTAAGGAGTGGACAGTTTGAGGTGTCCCTAGGGGCAATGTAAACACTGCCTTTTCTCTGAAAAAGGAGTGTTTACACAAAAATGCCTGAAGAGAGCGATAATGCTTCAACTAATACAGCCCCTCAAGTATGATTTTAGAATACAAATTACTAAAACTTAAAGCCACAACTATTTTTATGAAAGGTGTTGAAACAGATTTGTATTCAATGCTTCTCTTTGAGCCAACATCCAGCACAAACAAAGAAAGAAATGCTGTGCAGTTTCAATTTAAAGCTAAATATTGAAAATTGCTAGGATCTACGGATTAATGTATCCATGGGATGAATACATGTCATGCAGAATGATACATGCAGCATCCCACAATGCCTTTGGGCGCCATATTTGTAATCCTGCTGCTAGCTTGAAGGGAGAACTGGAAAGGCAGGTTAAGAAAATAAATAAGACGTTTAACATACATTTAAAAACAACGTATTTACTACTCATGTGGCCAGTAGAAAGTATAGATTATTTTATTTTTATATGGGTCCACTTAAAAGATACAATCTGAGATTTCAATATGGGTTTGTATGATAGGTTCTAATCTGCAGCCACTTCTGAATTTGTGTCTTCGTGGCATGTGGCAAATCATTTTATATCACAGATTCCTGCCATTTAATCAGGTGACAGTGCATCAAAAATGAGCAAAACTAAAGCATAATTTAGGATGTCTAAGGGATTGTTTGATACAAACAATCCTCGCCTGACAATGCAAAAAAAAATAAAAAAATACCACAACACATGTTGATATCTTTTATGTGTTTGACCTCATGTATAAAAAAAAATTCCTCATTTTCAGAGTAAGTCATGATCTGCCAGTTATTCACTAAAAGGAACAGGAGAGTTTTGTCAAGCCCAAGTCTCTGAGATCTTTACTGCTTTTGTGATAGCGGTTTCTTTCAGTACGAGAACTGGGTGTGTAAGAAGTTAGAATATATAAATATTTATGCACCAGAATGGTGTGCAGAGCACTTCAAAGAAATCAGTGCCTCTTCCCGCTCTTAAAGGGCCAGCAACATATAGCGATACAGCATCCTGTCTTGGCCAGATGTAGCTCCTGAGTACACATCTGGCACTCTGCATGGTGCCACGTCTCCAACTTCTAGTAGTGTTCTGGGATTGATTCAATTTCTATCTGCATCAAAAAATATTTAACTCTTTAAAGGACACTATAGTCACCTGAACAACTTTAGCTTAATGAAGCAGTTTTGGTATATGGAACATGCCCCTGCAGCCTCACTGCTCAATCCTATGCCATTTAGGAGTTAAATCCCTTTGTTTATGAACCCTAGTCACACCTCCCTGCATGTGACTTGCACAGCCTTCCATAAACACTTCCTGTAAAGAGAGCCCTATTTAGGCTTTCTTTATTGCAAGTTCTGTTTAATTAAGATTTTCTTATCCCCTGATATGTTAATAGCTTGCTAGACTCTGCAAGAGCCTCCTGTGTGTGATTAAAGTTCAATTTAGAGAGAGATTGAGATACAATTATTTAAGGTAAATTACATCTGTTTGAAAGTAAAAGCAGTTTGTTTTTCATGCAGGCTCTGTCAATCATAGCCAGGGGAGGTGTGGCTAGGGCTGCATAAACAGAAAAAGTGATTTAAAGGACCACTATAGTGCCAGGAAAACATACTCATTTTCCTGGCACTATAGTGCCCTGAGGGTGCCCCCACCCTCAGGGACACCCTCCTGCCCGGCTCTGGAAAGGGGAAAGGTGTTTAAACTTACCTTTTTCCAGCGCTGGGCAGAGAGCTCTCCTCCTCCGATCCTCCTCTTCTCCTCCTCCTGGGCTGAATGCGCATGCGCGGCAAGAGCTGCGCGCGCATTCAGCCTGTCGCATAGGAAAGCATTCTCAATTCTCAAAATCACAGTGAGAAGCACGCAAGCGCCTCTAGTGGCTGTCAATGAGACAGCCACTAGAGGATTAGGGGGAAGGCTTAACCCATTCATAAACATAGCAGTTTCTATGAAACTGCTATGTTTATAAAAAAAATGGGTTAACCCTAGAAGTACCTGGCACCCAGACCACTTCATTAAGCTGAAGTGGTCTGGGTGCCTAGAGTGGTCCTTTAACTCCTAAATGACAGCGAATTGAGCAGTGAAATTGCAGGGAAATGATCTATATACTAAAACTGCTTTATTTAGCTAAAGTAATTTAGGTGACTATATTGTTCCTTTAACAAACATCTGGCATTTTAAAGGAACAATGCAGAATGTATTTACCATAACTCAAAAAAATGCTACCTCTGAATGTGACTTTCACGGTAAATGCACAACCTGCACCCACCCCCCTCAGCCCCCCCAAGATGTTTTGAACTACAACTCCCATGATCCCTAGCGGTTTCATAAAAAAATAAATTAAAATAAAAACATGGGCGTTGGCTATTTTATTCAATGAATCACGGGCGTTATAGTTCAGAAACATCTGGGGGGCTGCAGGTTGTACAGGCCTGTCGGAAAGTATGCATTAGTGTGCTCACCAGATTCTCATATAAATGAGAGTCAGTCATGTGTGGAAAGGTGGCTAAACAACCGTTCTCAAAGTTAGTGGATGTCACCAATCTTTATAAAATGAATAGTCACACAAACACGCAATGTGTATGACCCCACAAGCATGCAGGAAAAAAAAAAAAAAGTTCATTCATGTGGCTATTCTAATAGCAACAGATACTAGAATATGAATTGAAATAAATAAGTATAATAAAATGAAAAACATAAATATGCTATCTAAAGTAAAACAAAAAGGCAAATAAACAGAGTAACCATTATAGATTGATGAGAAGCCAATACATGAAACAAAAAGTAGCAATACTAAATAACATTAAAAATTTTTTTTAAAAAAGCATTAAACCAATAGATATAACAATAAATACTTGTTTAATTTCCTCAGTTGACCAAACAGGTGTAATATGCATAAAAAGTACCAGTATGCTCAATCCACAGGTGTAACAGCAGAGTTTGGTTGGCATAAAGAGAGTAAGCAAGTCTATTAGATAGATCTTTGTTCCCTTAGTAACTTAGCAAACCAGACAAAACTTGAAAAGAATGAAACAGTTCTCCTTGTTTAAATAGCCTTGAAAGATATAAAAGTGAAAAAGTATCTCCCCCCCACCCCCAGCTATACAGGTGTTTACTCGCTAAGGTAACTAAGTCACACAGATGTCGTCCTAATAATATAATGTGCATGTATCAGGTAGCCATCTCACCGGCGCAGGTACTGCTTTCTTAATCTAGAATAGGCTTTCCCAAAGTCCGGCCCTCCAGATGTTGCTTAACTACAACTCCCATGATTATCAGACTATCAATTTATTCATAGAATCAATGGGAGTTGTAGTTCAGCAACATCTGGAGGGACGGAGTTTGGGGAAGATTGGTCTAGAATGTGCACTTGTCAGAAGCATGAAATCTGGCTCACAATGCTTTGAATGACGGCTTCACCTTTAAACTGAGATTGTGCTTTAGTTTGAACTGTTCTAGGATGTATGATAATATGTGCCTTTTCCCCCAACTTGCTCATGGCAAAACCTGTCACGCAATGCACAAGTAATGCTCAGGCCATCTTTAGGAGATTTTAAAAAATAAATAAATAAATAAATAAATAAGTATAAACAGCAACACAACTCACATCAATCTTTTAGGACTGGGAAAAAAGAAGTGCCGAAGGTGGTGGAAAATAATTTGACTTGATATCAATTTCGTCTACTACTAATACTACTACAATCCATGACTTTACCTTAGAGGGCCTTTGAACAATGCTTTATGGAGACAGATCTGCATTTAAGAAATTATAGTCACTTTCTGGTTTCATTGATCAGAGTCCAAGGGTATGCAGCACATTAAAGATTAATGAAAAGAAAAAAACAAAAAAAGTTTTCTGAATGCATTATGTACATACAATTAGAGTCCCTTTAAACAATTATGACTAAAAAGTGAGTGTGGGTTGTATTTGTGTAAATGTGATAAAGTGACTTGCACTGTATGTGTCAATCTGTCAAACTTCTGAGAGGCTGGTGCGGGCATGTTGGATCATTACCTAGAGGAGTATTCACTCCAGCCTATGCCTGCCAGTGACCGTACAATGTGGACAAGTAAAAGCACTAGAGGTGACCCTAGGCACTAATGTAAACAAATGTAAACAGCAAAAAGCCTGCAGGGACATACTATAGTCACTATAACAACTATCACAGAAACTGCAATGTTTACATTGCAATACTAAGTCTGCCTCCAGTTGCTGTCTCCCAGACAGACATTGGGGATGCTTCCTGGGTCCTAACTGATCTTTGGTCCAGTAACGGATTATGAATGTCCTCACGCTCTGCACGAGGACATTCAGAATCAGATCTTTCCTGTTACGGAAGCATTGAATTAATGCTTTCCTATGGGGAGGTCTAATGTGTGTGTGACATTTGCTGTGTGTGCGCCTTATTGCCTGATTGTCGCGGGACATCAGAGGAGGTGGCGACGCAAACCAGCGCCAAGGGACATCTGCACTTGAGTAAGGTAAGTAAAAGGGTTTTTAACCCTTTATTCACATCAGTGAGAGGGAGGGGGAGCACAAGGAGCTATAGTGCCAGGAATACAACTTTGTAATCCTGGCATTTATAGTATCCATTTGACATTAAAGGACCACTATAGGCACCCAGACCACTTCAGCTTAATGAAGTGGTCTGGGTGCCAGGTCCAGCTAGGGTTAAACCTTTTTTTATAAACATAGCAGTTTCAAAGAAACTGCTATGTTTATGTTAGGATTAATCCAGCCTCTAGTGACTGTCTCTTAACAGCCGCTTGCGTGCTTCTCACTGTGATTTTCACAGTGATAAGACGCCAGCATCCATAGGAAAGAATTGTAAATGCTTTCCTATGAGACTGGCTGAATGCGCGCACAACTCTTGCCGCGCATACGCATTCAGCCGAAGAGGAGGAGGAGAGCTCCCCACTCGGTGCTGGAGAAAGAGGTAAGTTTAACCCATTCCTCCCTCCTCAGCGCCACGTGAGTGGGACCCTGAGGGTGGGGGCACCCTCAGGGCACTATAGTGCCAGGAAAACGAGTATGTTTTCCTGGTACTATAGTGGTCCTTTAATTCTGTATGTGCAGTGTTTGTTTCGAGCCAAATCATAACATTATATGGATAAAACATTAAATAAGTATATTCTAAATTTGGAGCACTAGACAGCTGTACCAGAGATATTTCTGGACTATACAGCTGTATAAACATGTAAGGATTAAAGACTGCCAGCCTGATCACCTGCAACAATATATCTGAAGTTCAGTTGGATATTACTGCTAAAATGTTGAGGGGAAGAGAATATTAAATTATCAAATGGAAGTATATTTCCAAAACATTTAGCACCATCTATGCAGCAGCTTTTTACTAAACAAGAGAGTCTTCTACTCATGAGAATTACAACATTATGTAAGCAAAAACAAAATGAGGACACAAATATGCTGCCTGCTAGACTGCTCTGGAACATTAAATATTTAAAGTCTAAAACTAGGTCTCCAGATGCTCTGCTCCAAAAAAGGTTTAAATATTAAAGCTATTTTTCAAGCTTATATGACTAACATATTCCAATTTCCCAATCTACCCTTGAAAATGTAATGCATTAAGTATATCTAGGTAAAAGGAGGCGTCAAAAAGATATGAAGCTGAACAAAATAAATACATATAATATATTGAGGACCTCTTCAAGATGAGATTGACACCCTTTGATTTTATTTACTGCAGAGTTAAAACTACACACAAAAAATATATAAAAATTAGTAATTAAAAGGGACACTATAGTCACCAGAACAACTACAGCTATTGTATTTGTTCTGGTGAGCAGAATCATTCCCATCAGGCTTTTGCAGTAAACAATGTATTTTCAGAGAAAATGCAGCATTTTAATTACAGCCTAGGGATACCTCCAGGCCACTCCTTAGATGGCTGCTAGAGGTGCTTCCTGTGGCAGTGCTGCACAGTGTGGCACTGAACTTTCATCATAGATATGCATTGATTCAATGCAACTCTATAAGGATATGCTGATTGGCCAGGGCTGTGTTTGACTTGTGTTTACTCTGCCCCTGATCTGCCTCCTTGACAGTCTCAGCCAATCCTATTGTGATAGGCTCAGAGAATCACTTCTGATGAGGTCAGCCAAGCAGGCAGATTACGGGCAAAGACGGCAGCTGCATACTTGACTACAAGTAAGATTCGACTATATTTAGGGAGGGCCTAGATAGTGGTTTTACTTCCTTAACCCCTTAAGGACCAAACTTCTGGAATAAAATGGAATCATGACATGTCACACATGTCATGTGTCCTTAAGGGGTTAAAGGAACACTATAGTTACCTAAATTACTTTAGCTAAATAAAGCAGTTTTAGTGTATAGATCATTCCCCTGCAATTTCACTGCCATTTAGGAGTTAAATCACTTTGTTTCTGTTTATGCAGCCCCAGCCACACCTCCCTTGGCTATGATTGACAGAGCTTGCATTAAAAAAACAAAAAAAACAAAAAAACAAAAACAAACTGGTTTCACTTTCAAACAGATATAATTTACCTTAAAGGACCACTATAGGCACACAGACCACTTCAGCTTAATGAAGTGATCTGGGTGCCAGGTCCAGCTAGTTTTAACCCTTTTCATTTATAAACATAGCAGTTTCAAAGAAACTGCTATGTTTATATTAGGGTTAATCCAGCCTCTAGTGGCTGTCTCATTGACAGCCACTAGAGGGCTTCCGCACTTCTCACTGTGATTTTCACAGTGAGAAAACGCCAGCGTCCATAGGAAAGCATTGACGGAAGAAGAGGGAGGAGAGCACCCTCAGAGCACTATAGTGCCAGGAAAATTAGTATGTTTTCCTGGCACTATAGTGGTCCTTTAAATAATTGTATCTCAATCTCTGAAGTGAACTTTAATCACATACAGGAGGCTCTATCAGGGTATAGCAAGCTATTAACATATCAGGGGATAAGAAAATCTTAATTAAACAGAACTTGACCCTGGTTATGGTGGAGCTTGTGTGTAACAATGCTAATGGTTGTCATTGTGGTCAGAAATCGGTTGGTATTATATATATTGGAGTTTGTATCAGAGCCCCTGTGGGGTGAGTGGTTACGGAACCAGTATTGTGTTCTGTGGTGTAAAATTTAGTGCCTTGGTGAGGTTCAAAGAATAAAACTAATAAAACTTAACGTATTAACTATTTACAGCAATTGAGTCCTGAGTTAGTACTTGAAACTAGTTTTTGAACAGGGACCCGGTGATGTGAGAACGTCTGGTGTCAGCCTCTGTAGTGATCTAGATACTACAGAGGGCTTTACTTTGTAAGTGACACCGTCAAGTTTGGGTGGGGTGCGTGGGGTATGGAATTTCGTGTGGTTATTCGTGTGATTGAGGAGAAGTATTCGTTACAGCAAGAGTTGGTATGTGTCGGTGGGTGTGCAGGCATTGCATGTTGTGGCGTAAAGGTTATGGAAGCGGTTTGGTGTTGAAGTGCGTCTTGTGAGCAGGGGGGGGGGAGGGGTTGTGTGTGTAGAGTTCAGAGGTTAATACTAAGGTCACTTTTGTATTTATTTCTTTCTATGTAAATCTGGCAAAAGGAAATTCATCCCTGGCATGAGAAGCTTTATTGGCCACTATTGCCTCTAAAGTATCTCCATGCCATTTCAAACAGCAGCATATTGTAACAGTGATTGCACAGCCGATTTGTGCGGCTGTCAGAAGTGAGATTACAGAAATGTTTGGGCAGTGGCATGCTTTCAGAATAGGTAAGAAGCTCAAAGCCCTTTGAATGGTCAGTCTAGGCAAAATAACCATACAGCGAACGTTTGGTTTGAAAAGAGATTGACTACCTACCAGGGATCTCCTTGCACCATAACCACCACAATTTAGAGGTTATAGTGCCTAAACTGTTGCTTTAAGTCCAAGCAAACTTCTTCGCTTATCCACCAGCCTGTCAACATGTGGGGAAGCAACTAGTGGGGATAACCTGTTAGGCCATCAGCACAAACGAAAAAGAGTACAAATATGGAGTCTACAAGTAGATGGCACAAGCTGTCCTGCAACTCCTAGCATGGACCTACATGATGTCACAGGTCTTATTTGGGTCAGGGCTAACGCATGTGCCACTTCCTTGTCCTTTCCACACTTTGCAGGAGGTGGTTTGCTGTGGCAATTAAATTTTAGGCCTGGAAAGTACCTCCATCATCCAAATTTCTCTTCATATAAATCAATGAGCAACAGCATTCCCAACATCTAACCCATCTGCAATAACAATAGAAGAAAAAAAAAACTACCATTTGAGGAATAGCATCACATAGTGAGAGATGCCAGATAGAGATACAGGACCAACATGCATGAAAAGATGGGTGGGTGGCAAAGAGCAAGTAGGCAGAGGTTATGGGGACTGGCTGGCTGCACACACATGCAAAGGAAAACAAACTGCCTGGCACAAATTTATAACAATACTTCTAAATTATACTCTTGCCAGATAGTGATTTTGTTTTGAAAGTTCTTGCACTATCAAGGGACAGGAGTCAATTAGGTAAACTAAAGGAACCCTTGTTCTAGATGGAGAGTGTAATTAAAATGTACCTTTTACCCATTACAATAGAACAACAATGTTAAGCTAGGAAAAGCTATCAATATTTGCTGACAGCTTCATTAGTGTAATGTATAAATCACATATTGACAATCCCAAGGCTGCTATTAGAAATTGCAGAGCCCCATTCAGAATCATTTTGGCATACATGCATTTGTAGACTTGTAGACACACACTGCAAGACACTCACAAAGAATCACCCAATGATGAACATAGCCAGACACACACACAGAGAGACAAAACACAGTCATACACCCGCTTAGGGATAGGAAAAAAAAAAAAAAAAAACACAAACCCACATACTACTCTTCGACATAAACAGACACACAGATTGACACAAATCCCTATATTAAGCCACATTCCTGTATGCATACCATTTTGCTGCTGGTACGTGATATTTGCACTGTCCATAGGGTCCCTTTAGAAGTCTTGCACGTTTTGCACACTGGGAGGAAGTTATATAAAGTAACTTCCTCCCAGAGCATTGTTGCTATATAAGGAGTTAGTAAGCACTGCCAGGCTGTTCATGTTCCCTGGTTGGTGTGGTTTCTTAAAAGTATCTTTATTGAGCTGTCCAATCACAGTTTTCCCAATGCAGCTCAAAGAGAAGTTTTTGCAAGGCAGGTACTCTAGGCTGAACTACCAGGAGTAACAGCACCGGTTGTCTGACAACTAGTAGGGTTTAACAAGGTTAATTTTAAAAAGTGCCAATTTCTATTTAAATCTGCACTTTTTGTAAAATGAAAAAGAGAAACACTTCAGCAAGCTTTAGTGCCTTAGGGATCTGTATTGACACTTTAGCCCAGATCAGTTAGGAGATAGAAATATTCCCCCGGCTGGACTGTGTTGTGTTAAATGGCCCCATGTGCCTCCAGTACTGGTCCAGGCACCTGAACATACTATTGGCGTTGTATAATTGTGAGCCATTAGGGGCTGTCTTAGTCTTGCAATGTTTTATATTACAGGACTAAGTGGGACAGGGACACTGCACCCAGACCGGTTCAATAAGATGTAGTGATCTGGGTGACTATAGTGTGCCTTTCAACATATCAGAAGATTGTGTAATGTTAAAAAACCTCAATCTGTATGTCTAAGGATTTCTACTAATTTTGTCTTTAGTGTCAATCTATAGCAGTCTTAGTATAAAGAAAGATTGATACTAAGCTGTGAAGTAAGCTAGCTAGCCCTACAGAAATAAATTATAAATCACTATTCTGTTAAACACCTGTAGCCTTAGGCTAGATTAGCTGCAGACGCGGATGCCGCATTCTGAAACAAAGCTATAAAAGTTGTAATACCTGTTCAAACAGGACTTTACTTACTAAGCAGTGTACGTTTAACAATGATCAATATCATGCAGAAATAGTTCAATGTCATACTCTTATATCTACCATAGAGTTTTCCCAACTGTAGTCCTTGTCTAGAAAAGATTTTCAGAAAAGGGGGTTTTCCACCAATCAAAATATATACAAACGTATTGACCAGCAGACAGTGGTGCAATTAGAGCAACGAAAGTCACAAGATATTAGGCAAGATCCTAAACCAAAATACAAACCAGCAAAAAATAAATAAATAGGCAAGAGGGTTAACTAACTTCTCGACGTTGGCCTTACAGACAATTTACAGCTGAAAAGGGGACACTAATCTTTTCCCACACTTTTCCAAAATATGTACAGCAAATTCTGATTTGCTCCACTGCTCAAGCTATTTCAGTTCTATGCAGTAGTTTTCATGAAAGACAATCAGTGAGGAAAAATAGGAGAGTGCGTACATTTGTGTGGGGGAAGGGAATGTGTGCTAAATATGTTAATAGAATTGGGAGTAAATGAAAAATTCAAGAGTTTTGGGGCTTCACTATTGGTCAAAAAGCTACTATAACAGAAGAATGAATGTGCGGCCGCTTAAAAATATTGCTGTTCCCATTCTAGGGTGCCTGCTGCTCTGCGCTCTTTTGTGATTCAGTTTAAACTTTTTGAGCTGCCTTGCACCTATCCATTTCCCGAAGTGTAAGAACCTACAATGACTTGGATTGCAGGTTGCAAATGACTTGCATCTCGCAAAAATATAAGGAACTCTGTGCTTGTTTCCTACTTGTCAGGAACCCCAATCCAAACAAGGAGAAGGTCATGGGACACAGTGTTCACAACACCCTTTCTCCTCAAGGCTGATTACCATTAAATACTTGTATTGGGGGGGGGAGGGGCATTGGAACAGTATTAGTATAGAAATTCAATGAGTAAAAGGAAGCTTTTCAGGCCATGCAAAACCATTCTGGACCAACTTTTTTTTTTTTTTTTTTTAAATGTTATATGACAGTTCTTGCATAAACCCCTCCTGCAAGGCACTTACAAAGTCTACAATCACACTACAGTACAACTACATTTTTACAATTATAAAAGGGTATGTAAATAGTAGAACATTAGACAAAGTTTAAAACAATATGAATTCTTATAAAAAGGAAGAATCAGGCTGGGTTAGAATGATACTTGAACTTGGTGTAAGAGAAGTGGTATCAAGGTCAGATAGAAGAGGGATCTGGAAAAGGGATTAATGTATGGAGGTTAGGACGGTCTTTTGTAAATTGTGATTTTAGGAGTTTGCAAAAGATTGTAAGTGTGTGGCTGACTAGACGTGAGACGTTTGTGTCAGTAGTAGTAAGAATCTATAAGTGAGGATTAATAAAAGGAAGTGAAGAACACAAAGAGGGAGTGGGGTAAAAATTACAGAGATGAGGGAACAGAAAGCGTGGGTAGGTGTACAGCCAGATGTGAGCAGAGTTAGAAACAAATTATAGAGATAATTGTGTATAAAATCAAGTCTGAAGATAAATGCAATCTAAAGATAGCGTCAACTGAACAGTAGTAGGAACTGCAATATTACTTTTACTTTGAGACTGTATATGACTTCTGCCAAAGCACATTTTAACCCTCAAAAGGACCCTACCAGGCACCACAACAACTACATTGCCTGTTCTTATATACTGGCAAAAGAGATTCCCAATAGTTCATATGTTCTAAAATATCCAGACCTTGTAGTTCCTTTTGTAAAAATAAAATAAATTATATTATTAACAACAACAACAACAAAAAACACTTTTTAAAAGTAAATGTAGTTATTTACTTAATAAGCTGATTTTATGTCTACTACTTCTATACACACTACAATGTATGTCTTCAATGTGAGACAGGGAGGCAACATAACCTCTAGATTGACCAGGGTCTGTATCAACCTAATTTACCTGTCAAAAATGGTCATAGTTTGTCTCATTTGTTAATATTGTAAAGCCTGCATAACACGTTGGCACTATATAATGCCAAAAATAATAATAAAGCATGCTGTAATTATTAGGGTTTTTGGCATGTTCTTTTAACACCTACAATGAGCTGGGTCCATTTAAACGTACAGATTGCCGTTAAGGAGCAGGCACCCATCTGTACTGAATGTAGGATATTTTAAGGGTTCTCAGGTTAACACTACTCCCACGTACTACACAGAAATTGCTAGCAATTCATCAAACCCCCAGTAGCACCCTAAGCCAAATATTTACGCTGAGCAAGTCAATGCTCCTCTGTCTCCATCACATTCTGAACAACCCAGAATGCTCATCCTTTTAACATAGTTTTTTTCGTTTTTTTTAAACTTGGCTCTTTGCCCAGAAAGTTCTTGCAACAATTGTATAAAATATTTTTCCTCTAAGAGTCTCCAATTATGTAACTACTTTAATAAGCAATATTACCAACATATAAACACACACAATGATTTATGCACACTATATCAATTAAACAAATATGTACTGGAAAATCTTGTCACATAGCTAAATGACCTGCTATGTTGTCCATAAACACAGAATAGTCATCTGTGGACTAACTTTTATCACTCTAAGCCACTCACACGCACTGTCGTCCTCTAAAATCCAATACATGTAAATACAGCTGTATTAAAGTGGCACATTCTATTCTCAGCTCAAACAGCAGGATACCATACTGCCCTAACTCCCCAATGTTTCCTGCCCATAAGGCTTCAATAAACATAAAATTGTATTTATATAAAACACTATATGTTGGCTCCTGCCGGCTCTCCATACGCTGAGTGCGGGGCTGTCTCCCCATACGCTGAGTGCGGGGCTGTCTCCCCATACGCAGAGTGCGGGGCTGTCTCCCCATACGCAGAGTGCGGGGCTGTCTCCCCATACGCAGAGTGCGGGGCTGTCTCCCCATACGCAGAGTGCGGGGCTGTCTCCCCATACGCAGAGTGCGGGGCTGTCTCCCCATACGCAGAGTGCGGGGCTGTCTCCCCATACGCAGAGTGCGGGGCTGTCTCCCCCATACGCAGAGTAGCGGGGCTGTCTCCCCCATACAGAGGCGCGGGGCTGTCTCCCCATACGCGAGAGTGCGCGGGCTGTCTCCCCATACGAGAGTGCGGGGCTGTCTCCCCTTATTATCCAGAGTGCGGGCTGTCTCCCATACGCAGAGTGCGGGCTGTCTCCCCATACGCGAGAGTGCGCGGGCTGTCTCCCCATACTCAGAGTGCGGGGCTGGTGTCTCCCCATACACTGTAGAGGCGGGGCCCCCATACACAGAGTGCTGGGCCAGTCTCCCCATACACAGAGTGCGGCTGTCTCCCATACACAGAGTGCGGGCTGTCTCCCCATACACAGAGTGCGGGCTGTCTCCCCATACACAGAGTGCGGCCACCCCATACACAGAGGCGGGCTGTCTCCCCATACACAGAGTGCGGGCTGTCTCCCATATTACTGCGAGTGCGGCTGTTCCCCACACAGAGGCGGGGCTGTCTCCCCATACACAGAGGCGGGCTGTCTCCCATATTACGAGTGCGGGCTGTCTCCCCCATACACAGAGTGCGGGCTACTCCCCCATACACACAGAGTGCTGGGCTGTCTCCCCATACACAGAGTGCGGGCTGTCTCCCATACACACAGAGTGCTGGGCTGTCTCCCATACACAGAGTGCGGGCTGTCTCCATACACAGAGTGCGGGCTGTCTCCCATACACAGAGTGCGGGGCTGTCTCCCATACACAGAGTGCGCCGTCTCCCCATACACAGAGGCGGGCTGTCTCCCATACACACAGAGTGCGGGGCTTCGTCTCCCCATACACAGAGTGCGGGGCTGTCTCCCCCATACACAGAGTGCGGGCTGCACTTCCCATACACACAGAGTGCGGGCTGTTCCCTACACAGAGTGCGGCTGTCTCCCCATACACAGAGTGGCTGTCTCCCCCATACACAGAGTGCAATGTCTCCCACACAGAGTAGCGGGCTGTCTCCCATACACAGAGTGCGTGGGCTGTCTCCCCATACACTGAGTGCGGGGCTGTCTCCCTATACACAGAGTGCGGGGCTGTCTCCCCATACACAGAGTGCGGGGCTGTCTCCCCATACACAGAGTGCGGGGCTGTCTCCCCATACACAGAGTGCGGGGCTGTCTCCCCATACACAGAGTGCGGGGCTGTCTCCCCATACACAGAGTGCGTGCGGGGCTGTCTCCCCATACACAGAGTGCGGGGCTGTCTCCCCATACACAGAGTGCGGGGCTGTCTCCCCATACACAGAGTGCGGGGCTGTCTCCCCATACACAGAGTGCGGGGCTGTCTCCCCATACACAGAGTGCGGGGCTGTCTCCCCATACACAGAGTGCGGGGCTGTCTCCCCATACACTGAGTGCGGGGCTGTCTCCCCATACACTGAGTGCGGGGCTGTCTCCCCATACACTGAGTGCGGGGCTGTCTCCCCATACACTGAGTGCGGGGCTGTCTCCCCATACACTGAGTGCGGGGCTGTCTCCCCATACACTGAGTGCGGGGCTGTCTCCCCATACACTGAGTGCGGGGCTGTCTCCCCATACACTGAGTGCGGGGCTGTCTCCCCATACACTGAGTGCGGGGCTGTCTCCCCATACACTGAGTGCAGGGCTGCAGTCAGTGTGAAGGAGTCTCCCTCATACAGCTCTCTTATTAAACAGATCCATAGCCCAGACTGCCACCAAATGTCCCCTTCATGCAGTGCTAGGCACCCACCCACACCCGGCCATTATAGGAGCCGCCATACCTTCACCCGGTGACAGCCAGATCCCTGCGCCAGGCTCGCTCCTGATCCTCCCAGGCCTCCGGTACAAACACCAACCGCTCTCTTCCTCCGGAGAAATGATCAGCCAATGAGATCGCTGGCTGTCTGCCACAGCGGAAAGTTGGTCCAATCGTAGCTCAAAAATCAGTCCATAAGCCACCAATCGGTGAAGAGATTCGCGTTTTGATAGGGGCTGGCAAAACACACGTTCAACCAATCAGAAGGCGTAAAGCCACCGGGCTGCACTGTGTGAACTGGAAGCTTCATATTCTTACCTCTTCATTGTTGGGCGAGAAGCTTGATCAGAAAGAGGCGTGACCCGCAAAGGCGTTTGAATCCGCCTCTTTGGTGACGTAATCAGAGAATTCGCTTCCTATTGGTGGGAGTTAGCTGGAGTTTTGAGGACGTTGCTATGGAGTTTATAGGGGACTCATTACTGACCTAGTGTAGAGCTACTAATGGCAGGTTGTAGGCTAAACTAACCAAGCTGTGACCAAAACATGGGTAATAAATTCACATCAGATAGTTCTGTCTAAATCAGGCTTCCCCAGACTCCTGCCCTTCAGATGTTGCTGAACTACAACAGCCTATCTATTTCATTCATAGAATCATGGGAGTTGTAGTTCAGCAACATCTGGAGGGCCAGAGTTTGGTGAAGCTTGGTCTAAATGTTACCATTGGCATTTCTGATTGCTACAACTCGGGGTTAGGCAAACACTGAAGGGTTTATTCACTGAAATCTGACATAAAACAAATTGAAATCTTACAGGAAATATGTACAAATAAATAGCTAAACTCAGCCCTAGTACACAGCGGGGCTATTTTAGCCTTATTATTTTGATTTCAGTTCACTACATTCTGAGCTTACTGGGTTATTCACTATAAATTAAGAATTGTTGGGAATTCACAATTAATTCAGAGGGAAATTTAAATGTAAGACCAAAATAGTCAGATGGGAAAAATTATCCAGCACAATTATGCTTCCTGTTCAGCTACTTTGGGCTTAAATGTGAAATTCACTTTGAATTCATGACAATTTTCACTTTTGTGAGTAACCATGGCAGTGAGCCTGATTTAATAAATGCAAATATTACAAGTTTTAGAATGAGATGTTGTATTTCTTAAACCGTGTACTTTGTCTATAAGAGATATTGCAAACTGAAAAGGTGTTAGAAATGGAACATATTGTTTTTCCATATATGTTTTTATAAGCAATATCCTCTTACTTACTTTACTATGTTATTATTTATAGAGCGCCGTCAAATTCCGCAGCGCTTTACAATGGGTGGACGAACAAACATGTAGTTGTAACCAGACAAGTTGGACACATAGGAACAGAGGGGTTGAAGGCCCTGCTCAATGAGCTTACATGCTAGAGGGAGTGGGGTAAAATGACACAAAAAGGTAAGGATAGTATTAGACTAATGACAGTTGCAAAAGAGGAATCAGTTGTGAGCTATTAACAGTTTAATTGATAAACTTTTATGAAGAAGTGGGTTTTTAATTATTTTTTTGAAGGAGTGGAGACTGGGTGAGCATCTAACGGAGGAGGGAAGTGAGTTCCACAGGAATGGTGCAGCCCTCGAGAAGTCTTGAAGGCGAGCATTAGAGGTGGGAGTACGTACAGAAGATAGACGTAAGTCTTCAGCAGAGCGTGAGGGCGTAGACGGGACCTACTTGTGTATTAGGGAGGATATATAGGTGCGAGCAGCATTTTGTAGAGATTTGAAAGCAAGAACCAGAATTTAAATTGAGCCCTGTATCTTACAGGAAGCCAATGTAGGGACTGACAGAAGGGTGAGGCGTGGGAGGTGCGGGCGGAGGGGAAGATGAGCCTCGCCGCCGCATTCATTATGGGCTGTAACGGCGCAAGTTGGGAGCACGTAAGACTACTGAGAAGCGGATTACAGTAGTCTTGGTGAGAAAGGATAGTGGTATAGACCAGCACCTTAGCTGCATCGGGCATAAAGTAGGGTTGGATGTGCGCAATATTTTTGAGATGGAAGCGGCAGGATATGGCAATAGGCTGAACATGAGGTGTGAAGGAGAGGTCGGAGTCAAAGAAAACACCTAGGCAGTGAGCCTGCATGGTGGAGCTGATGGTAGCACTGCTGATTTGGAAGGAGACAGACACAGGAGTAGCAACACTTGAGGGAGGAAAGACCAGAATTTTAGTTTTGGTCAAGTTGAGTTTAAGGAAGTGGGCAGCCATCCATTTTGAATTAGCAGAGAGGCAGTCAGAGACACTAGTCAAGAGGGATGGGGGGAGATCAGGAGAGGACAGACAGATTTGAGTGCCATCCGCATAGAAATGATATTGGAAGCCAAAGGAGCTAATTAGTTTACCAAGGGAGGCAGTATGTGCTTAGCGCGGAAACCAGACTGAAGCGGGTCTAGCAGAGAGTTGGACTCGAGGAAGTCTGTCAATCTCGCATACACTACTCTTTCAGTGCATAATATATTTATGCCAATTTGTCTTAGCTTCATACAAAACAAGTAATGCAATAATATCTTCAAGGCTATGCTATGTCATCCTGATTTATACAATTTTGTCCTGGGATAATGGAAATTTAGTATAAACAATAAATATGATGTCTAGGTCATGACAAATAAACAATAGATAAGGTGATCAGACTTTAAAACACCATCTTGTCCTAAGTCAGAGAATTTCCAAGTTAAGGGAGGTCCTAAAATAAACAAGTAAAAGTGGTTTGACTTTTTCATATATGAACTGCGGTAACCCTAAATGAAAAAAAAGTTTAAATATGTGTACCTTTTAAATGTTAACACAGAGAGGAGAGATTTGGAGACAGACGCTGCTCCATCTTAAAATGACAGAGAGGCTGACATGATGACATGTTCAGGAGGGTATGTAATTCTATTAATGTTATTTGCAAGCATAAAGTTTAATCTTATAAACTCTGCTATAAATTATTGTAATGGATTTTATATGTCTATTTATATTTTTATTTAATAAAATATCTAAAAGACAAAACTTTATTGCTTCCAAGACAATCCTTATTTTATATTGTATTCTCAATTATTTATATATTTTAATATAGAGGATCTCTTACGGAATATATAAAATTATAGATATATAGATATATATTAAGATATCTGTATGGTTAGCCCTGCTAAGTTCTATGCTTTAAGACTTTATAGTGGTAAATAACGGAACCAGCCGCGGGTACAATTGACGCCCAACATGGGGCTTGTACTTGGAAGCTTTAACTATAAAATAATTTCTAATTATTGCATTACTGCCTTCTAGATTGTAATATGCATTATATCTGAAAAGTTTTATAAAACAGTGATAATTTCCATATTGTCAGTTACACTTGCTGTTGATTAAAAAATCAGGAATTATAACTAGTGATGTCCCGAAAGGTTCGCCGAACGGTTTGTCACGGATGGCGAACATATGCGCTGTTCGGTCCGCCCCTATGTCATCATTGAGTAAACTTTGACCCTGTACCTCACAGTCAGCAGACACATTCCAGCCAATCAGCAGCAGACCCTCCCTCCCAGACCCTCCCACCTCCTGGACAGCATCCATTTTGAAGCTGCATCCTTAGTGAGCTGTCCAGGAGGTGGGAGGGTCTGGGAGAGAGGGTCTGCTGCTGATTGGCTGGAATGTGTCTGCTGACTGTGAGGTACAGGGTCAAAGTTTACTCAATGATGACATAGGGGCGGACCGAACAGCGCATATGTTCGCTGTCTGCGGCGAACCGTTCGGGACATCACTAATTATAACAGCATACCGTATTTACTCGAGTATAAGATGAGTTTTTCGGCACAGAGAGCTGTAACTTTCCTGCAGCTCCTGTCAGCTCCCTTCTCTCTCCTCCGTTCCAGTCAGCTCCCCTGTCAGCTCCAATGCAAGTCTCGCGAGAGTCGTGGGGTCAGAGCGTTGCCACAGGTTACGCTCCGTGCAGCACTCACACCGCGAGACTTGCAGTGGGATCTGACAGGGGAGCTGATCAGAACAGAGGCGAGAGAAGGGAGCTGCAGGAAAGGTAAGTTACAGCTCTCTGCCAGCCCCCCTCCTACACAGCCCATGCCACTAGACCACCAGGGAGTGAGAGCCCCCCTCCCTGCCATGTATCAAGCAGGGAGGGGGAACAAAAAAATATAAATAAACATTTAAATAATAATACAATAAAATAAAAATATTAAAATAATAATAATTAAAAATAAAAATAAAAATGCCCCCCCCCCCCACCAAGGCTCTGCATCACATACACAAACACACTCTGCATCACATACACACACTGCACTCATACACACACACTGCATTCATACACACACACTGCATTCATACACACACACACTGCATTCATACACACACATACTCTGCACTCATATACACACACACTGCACTCACACACAAACACACTGCATTCATACACACACACACACTGCATTCATACACACACACTGCATTCATACACACACACACACTGCATTCATTATATACACACACTCTAAATAAATATTCAATTATTATAATTTTTGGGGGATCTAATTTTATTTAGAAATTTACCAGTAGCTGCTGCATTTCTCACCATAGTCTTATACTTGAGTCAATAAGTTTTCCCATTTTTTGGGGGTAAAATTAGGGATCTCGACTCATATTCGGGTCGACTTATACTCGAGTATATACAGTAACTATTTTTGGCGTCTGGGATTTTCAGACAAAGTCGCAGAGTTAGAAACAAATAATTCCAAGGAATTGAGAAGTCTTTTTTTTATATTCCATATTAAGAACAACTTTATTACATACAGCCATAAAGAGAAAGACATGGTTTTTAAAAACATCCATTGCAGTACAATGCAGTACACAATTAATTATGCTAATTATCTTATATTTTTACTTAAACAGAGTTGAAATTATACTCCCCCCCTAAAAATCTGTTAAAATCAAATAATATAACAGAAGGGAAACAGGTTGTTATACATCATTTGCTTCTCTAAATGCTCTGCAAAAATAAATATTTATAAAATAATTAAAAATAATATGTTTTAAGAGCATTGTAAATATATATAATGCAAAATTAATGTGATATTGCAAAGCCTTCAATATTCTAAACAGACATTACAATTTGAACAAGTAGAAGGAAATAATAATGCATAACAATTAAATGAAATTAAAGTGATAATGTTCTGATATATAAAATCATATTGCATATCACATATCTGCTATATGAAAAGTATAATTAAAGTGACATTATTGTCCAAAGCCCTCTCACATCTATTTTATAGAATCTTTATTTTTCTGTGGTCACCTCCAAAGGGGCCTCTGAAACTGGTGGGCTGAGAGGGGTGCTCATCCCAAAAGAAATCTGATTCCAGACATAAAGAAAGAAAAAAAAAATGATAGAAAAGAAATCATGGGAACACCCAGAACATGCATTGTTGTATATAATCTTAGTTTACAGATAATATATGCCTTAAATACATATAATGGATATTAAAATAAATATGTAGGTATCTTTAAAAGTAAATGAATGTAAAAAAAAGAAAAGAAAACAATTTGTTTAACAGATTCAAGTACAAGTACTTATGGCATGTACTTTACAGAATCCTTTTACAACAGGCAGGTTTAGCATAATTTTGTTTGCCTTGATTATTGCCATAATTATTGAACATATTCAGAAATGTATTTATCTTATACGTAAAGACAGCAGATTGCAGTGGACACCATAACCATAACATGTTGCTTTGCAGATTGAGGTCAAAGCTTTTAAATATATATATTTTTTTAATAAAAATAAATATTCTATAGCTCACTAGACCACTGGCTTTTAATAAACAGTTGGCACAACACTTATAAATAGTTTATTATACTGCACATTATAGCAGTGATAAAAAATAATATACAGGGTAAAAAATGCTATTTCACTGTTTAATAGACTTACCCAGTATTTAAGGACGACTTGTTTTTTGCAAAGTCATCGGGACTTTGAGGGAGGCTCTAACTATGTTTAATTAATTAATTTACTAAGAAAAAAAGGGGGCGGGGGTTTGTTTTTGCAAGTGCATTTTCAGTGCAAGGTCATTTTATGTAAACACTCTGTTCAGTTTTAAAAGGCTGTTCTATTTGTCTCACGTTCTGAATGGCCTTGTGATTCCTACGCACACTAAAAGTTGGCTTTTAAATGTAATTGTTTTAACTTTAATATTTCATAGTTAATACAGGAAATAAAGTAATTTAAAAGAAAGTATATTAATTGAAAAGATTTCATTTGTCTAATCTTGGTCCACTGATCTCTCAAGTCTCAGTCTGGTGTTTAAAAGTTTTTCTTACGTTTATAGCCACAACTGCATATTGCTTTGTGGAAACAAATTGAAAGCCTGGCATTGTAATGCGTGTATGGACATGCTTATAACAAAGCTTGGTCCCTCTCCTCACATAGTTGGTCATTAAAGGACCACTCTAGGCACCCAGACCACTTCAGCTTAATGAAGTGGTCTGGGTGCCAGGTCCTTCTAGGGTTAACCCATTTTTTTTATAAACATAGCAGTTTCAGAGAAACTGCTATGTTTATTAATGGGTTAATCCTTCCCCCTAATCCTCTAGTGGCTGTCTCATTGACAGCCACTAGAGGCGCTTGCGTGCTTCTCACTGTGATTTTCACAGTGAGAGCACGCAAGCGTCCATAGGAAAGCATTGTAAAATGCTTTCCTATGCGACGGGCTGAATGCGCGCGCAGCTTGCCGCGCGTGCGCATTCAGCCCAGGAGGAGGAGACGGAGGAGGTCCGGAGGAGGAGAGCTCCCCGCCCAGCGCTGGAAAAAGGTACGTTTTTACCCCTTTCCCCTTTCCAGAGCCGGGCAGGAGGGGGACCCTGAGGGTGGGGGCACCCTCAGGGCACTATAGTGCCAGGAAAACGAGTATGTTTTCCTGGCACTATAGTGGTCCTTTAACAGGCACTTTAATACGATGTGTCTACCAACGCTACTCTGTTAAAGTGGTCACTGGATCACAAAAGCATACCCTATCTCTCAGAGTTTTTGCTTGCAAGGATAACCAGACCTAATCTACCTGGTTATCCCTAGAAATACTCCTATCCTTTAGAGGGGTTAATTACATAATAACCATTGAAGACACAGATTGTTAACCTACAATTCAGAAAAAAAGTGGTTAATAGGAAGAAGTAGAAGAAGAGGAATATAGATTTCCTACTGGAATGGGAAACCATACTGGAACCATATTCTGTAATAATGAACTTTACAATGATGTTTGTTGGCATTTGAATTTGGAAGAAACATATCAACGAAAGAAACCTTGATGCAATTAATAAATAATAACAAGACCGGCCTACTAAGAGCAGATGCCCTGCCAAGAGAATGGACTATAGAAGGCCAGCGAAATCTTACAGAAACTTGACATCACGGGACACTTGTACTAAAGCACAATTTGATGCTTTTCTTAAACTCTACATATTATGTACATACCTGCAAAGCAAGGAACTTCTGTAAACATAAACACAGAGACATTGCTACAACAAGGAATCGTTAATGGTTCTATGGCAGATGTGATCTACTGATGTATTCCTTGCCCTTTTGGTATAACTATACCAATCAAAACGTTAAATGGCTCCCTAGAACCATAGACAAATGATTCTTGCTATATTCTGGACTTCCAAGAATGTGGTGCATGGACAGAAAAAATATAATTACTAAAGCAATCATGCAATTTTTTCTCCTGTATCAGAAATGTGTCAGCAACAAAGTGTAATATAATACAGATACTATAATTAATGGTATAAAAAACACATGATGTGTTAATTACAAAGGTGGATAAACTTTGTGAATATCTGAAATGTAATTGAAAAATATTGCTAAAATGCCATATGCAGCTGTGGTCTGGCCTACAAACAATATATATTAGACATAAAGTATAAGAGCAAACCAGCTGTTTATCCAGATGAATGTACATTAATGTCAATGCCTCATAGCAAAAGGAAATAGCTAAACAATGCAGATTCCTTTATTTTTTTTTGTGAATATAATTTTTATTTTTATCGGTTAGTCAAGATTCGAAGACTCGCAGGTCTCCAAGGTGAGTTATCAAAGGATATGAAGGCATTTGGAATATATCAAAAACAGTAACTTTTAGTCGGGCTCGCAGGCCCACAATGTTGACGGACTTGCAAGTCCCTTTTAACTTATTTTACGAGCATTTCTCTGTTACAGTTCATTACATTTATTGCAGTTGTAATTTGTGTGCGGGTTAAACAGAGGCTCGTCGGCCTTTTGTCCGACTTACTGGTCGGGGTGACCCGACTCCCTGTGGGTTTGACGTTCAATTCTCATGTGTGCCCTCTCATTGACTTGTGTATCTACTTAGATTGGGTTTATGGTCTCTTGGCTTTCCTCTGGAGGGGGGAAGGGAAATTTAGGGTTGGGGTAGGAAGGGGTGTGAGGGTAGTCAGTCGTCGCCTGTCGTCAGGTGTATGTTCCCTAAGTCCTCCCAGTCTGTAGTGTGGTGGTTGGCGGTTCTAGTTCCCTTTGGAATCCTTCTTTCGCCGTCTCTAGGATCCAATGTGTCCATATATCCATGTAGGCTGTCGGGGAGGTGTTAGTCGTCAGGGTCAGTTCCTCTATTGTCCTCAGCTCCTCCATTTGGTTAAACCAGGTCTTAAGTGGAGGTGTTATGGCCTGTTTCCAGTATTGGGGGAGCACTCGTTTGGCTACATTGATGCAGATTCCTTTATATCTACTGGACATTTACTTGTAGATTAAATCCAAGCAGTGGCCAGATTATCTGATTTTAACAATGTATCTTTACATAGTTAAAGATCATATGATTACAATAACAACTGCAATAATGAATAATGTTTTAATCTAAAAAGAAAAAGTAGAATGTTTTTATTAAATCAGAAACTTCAAAGTACTCGATATTTGTTTAAGTTTGCAGAGTGGGATGATTAATATATTCTAATTAATATAAGTGAAGTACTTCAACAGTTAAAACAGTAAATTATTACTGTTTTATTTTGATGCCTTTATACAGTCACTTTGTATTTTTTGCTGTGTGCAATTTATGCCTATTGTTGGTTCATTAAATATTTGCATTACTTTCTTTTTTGTAATATTTATGTTTATTTGGTATTTGAGGGAGTACCTGTGAGTAGTGCACCTAGTGAGATAATTCTTGTATTGTTATATATTCCCTCCATACAGTGTTATTACATGAATACCTTTTAAATGTTATCACACAGAGGAGAGATTTGGAGACAGACGCTGCTCCATCTTAAAATGACAGAGAGGCTGACATGATGACATGTTTAGGAGGGTATGTTATTCTATTAATGATATTTGCAAGCATAAAGTTTAATCTTATAAACTCTGCTATAAATTATTGTAATGGAATTTATATGTCTATATTTATATTTTTATTCAATAAAATATATAAAAGACAAAACTTTATTGTTTCCAAGACAATCTTTATTTTATATTGTATTCTCAATTATTCATATATTTTAAATAGAGGATCTCTTACTGACTATAGAAAATTATAGCTAAGATATCTGTATGGTTAGCCCTGCTAAATTTTATTCTTTAAGACGTTATAGTGGTAAATAAGGGAACCAGCCGCAGTTAAAATGTTAGGCTGCAAAATTTACACGGTCTGTAACCCTTAAGCTGCTATGGACTTATGCAGTAACACATCCTGCTTTCCTTAATCTTTGTGTACAATTAACACAGACCAGTCATTATGAAGTTCCAGAAAAATAGTGCTTTTTTTAATGTGGGCACAGCGTTTATATAGAACAAACACAGTTTTCATAGGGGTGTATCCAACAGAAGACAAAATCAACCAATCATAGACGTTCAGTGCAAAAATTATAATTTCTCTTATAACATTACGTATTACAGTTATTCTGCTGCGCATGTTTAGCACGTCTTCTCGAAACTATGCAGGGTTATCTTGTGAGAGAAAAAAAGGGAGTATTTGTGAAACTGTAACTGATTGCAAACAGGAGAGAGAAAATTCTTGCTTTTAACCCTTGCCGATGTGGAAAGACTTAACTAAAACAAAAAAGGCCCTTTAACCCTTTATTTACCTGTATCTATGACAAGTTCCCTTTTCTCTGGTACTGCAGGTGAGAGTTTGGAAAGGTATATCCAGATGTACTAATTACATCTGTAGGCCTTTAATTAGCGCTTCACCTCTACTCCCTCGTCCCCCTCCCACCAACAAAGCATCAAGAAAGACCTGTCCAAGTATTTGTAGATACAAGATAATAAATGTTGTTAAATCCACGTCTCAGTATGCAATACATCTATAGGTTACTGAATATATTTATTTATAGCTCTGTATGTCTAGGGCAATATTCACTAAGCCTTGCATAGGTAAAATAATGATGTGACGAGACCAATCTCGCCACTGTGCATTGGAGGAGCCTGGTTGCCTGCCTGCTGCCTTTTGACTATGGACTGGCATTTAAATACCTTATTTTCCTATGCAGAAAGGTCTATTCATGTATTTCTGCTCTGGCGTTTGGTAGATTCTCGGATTTACTGAATGAACTCATTTAACCCAGATAGCTATGCCATGGAGCCTATTAGTGTAATAAAAGACTTTGGCTCCATGGCAATTGAACTGTATGTGTGTGGTCTGAGAGCCATTCAGTAATAATGTGCACTCAGACCTAAGCTATCTGGGGATATGTTGCATGTCTGTATTTTATGTAATAAATGTAACCTTGTGTATTTTATTGTATTTTACTGTCTTTTTACTGTCATGTGCTTAATGGAGTTTTGCCTCTGTCCTTGGAGATAATTGGATTACTTCCCAATTATCCCCAGGATAGAAGACTCTGTGGAACTGGTTTTGGGCAGAAAAGCCATGCTTCCTTTGGTCACAAAGGACTTCGATCTATCTTTTGAACCAATGGACCAATGTGGATGATTTTTACATATGTTCGTATTTGGAGTA